AGAGCAGGTAAATCATCACCTGCTAGGAACATCCCTCCATCGCCCCCCTCAATTCCCCAACTGCACAGCTGAAATTCCGCAACTGCGCCAATGTCCAAGGGCCCCCCCGTGAGCTGCGCCTTGCGTGAGCCGTCACCGTGGGCAGGAAGCCACCCACGCCGTCGAAAAGATCCCAATGGCTGCGAGGCTGCATCCAACGTTCTAAACACTCAACTGCTCCGGGGGCCGAAGATATACCTAAGACAACTTCCAAGCTGCAGATATCCGTTCCACAATCACAGCCTGTCAAACAGTATCAAAGAAGACTTGAAGATCTTGAAGTCAACAATGCTTCTACCAGCAAACCAAAAAGGCACCTCTCTCACCTTTTCCGATGCTTTGCGGCGCATTGCGGACGCGCTCGCCGACCATCGGCTCGCCCTACTTCTTGGCCTCACCGCCTTTTGCAGTGCTTTCGCCCACGGAAATCGCTTTCAGGTTGGGGAATTGCGCCTTGGCACCGTGCCCGTGCCCGTGCGACAAAAGACCTGCCGACCAACCTCCAGCTGGTTCGGAAGAAGCGTCCAATATCCATGAACGTTGGGACAACAAGGAACAAGCAAGCACCCCGTTCCCGACGTCTTGGGAAGGCCGTCGGAAAAGGAGTATGGCACTGGAACTGCGGGAACTGCGGGAACACTGCAGTTCCCATAATGTAGACTCTTGATTCATAGACTTCGCCCTCATTTGGATTGCAAAACCTCTTTAATCTATATTAATCAAGAGTCTACATTACAAGCCACAAGCAATTCGACATAACTCGACACCCTTTCGCCCCTTCCGACGGATCATTGGACCCCCCACAATTAGCTTGTTAGCGTCGGCCAGAGGACCGTCGCCCTGCATGGCCTGCGCTGGTATGGGCGGAGTGCGGCCATCAGTGGCACACCATGAACCATGGGGCTGTAACAGCCATTGCCCAGGTCAACAGCTTCAACTTGCGAAACAAATGCTCAATGTAGCTGCTTTGGAGTCCGCCGTCGGGGCTGGTCTACCACCATGCTACAGCTGCGCGGGAAGAACCAATTCAAACGGGCCTGGTCCGCACCCCCCCACTTTGGGCCTTTCCACCGGCCATCGGATCGTCTGCATCCCTCGACTGCATTCGACTCCCAGAGTCAGGTGCCTTGGTAATCTCAGCGAAGGTGGCTTTGAAGAGCTCTCGCTTCTCCTCAGAGTGCTGCACTGGCGCCACTAGCTGGAGCTGCCGGCGCACACCACGGGACAACTGCATCGCAGTATAGACGGGTCAAACAGGGTCAAACCATGTCTAACCTTATGATGTACCTTACAGCCTAACTCTGAAATCTCAAGGATTCATAAAAAAAGAAGAAGAAAAAAAAAAACAAAACCACACTCACAAAGGATGACCAGGAAATGCAAAAGAAATGCATTAAAAAAAGGCAGCTGGTCAAAAAGAGTGCATATCAAAAAGCAAAAAAAATGCAAAAGGAAGCCAGAAAAACAGCAAAAAAAGAGCAGAACAGCAGTTCAAAAAAAAACGCAAAAACAATGCAAAAAAAATGCACATGCACAACCAAATTTCACACACCACTTTTTTTGTGCGAGTTCTTTTTTTTTTTTCGATGTTTGTGCGTTTTATGTGCGATTGGGTTGCATTTGTTTGCATTTTTTGTGCGTTTGTTGTGCTTTTTTTTGCGATGTTTTTTTGCGTTTTCTCAAGGAAACGCACAAACAATGCAAAAAACATCGCCAAAAAAAACACAAATACAAAGCAAAAATAATGCAAAGGCAAAGACCAGAACGTTTTTGATCGCATTTGTTTTGCTTTTTGATTGCATTTGTTTTTGCATTGTTTGTGCATTTTTGTTGCATTTGTTGTGCTTTTTTTGCATTTGTTTTGCATTGGTTTTGCGCTTTTTGCATTTGTTTAGTGGACAAATGCGTTGGTGTTTTTTTTCGTTTTTTGTTGCATTCCAAGGCATCCTTTGGTGACATATTTTTTGCGTTTTCTGTGCATTTTTTTCGGGATTGGTTTTGCATTATGTTTGCATTGTTTATGCATTTTGTATGTTTTGCTGTGGCATCAGAACTAGCTTTAGCGTACATCATAAGTCTAACCTCCAAGATAAGGATGATGAAGTTGAAGCGCGCGGATGTTTTTTGTGACTCCCAGGGGCTCGGCTCTTCTGTAAACATCTGTTTGATCGTCCGCCTAAATCGACCGGAGGGACAAACCCTACACACTGAGCCCTGGACCTCGGCACCTTCCACCGGAGCCTGTCAGGTGCATCTTCGACAACTGCCAGCCAGCTGAGTCGTGATCCCAACACCCCAACACAAAACCGAAGGTGAGGGAACGCTTCTTGTGGTTGATATCCCTTTAAACTCTTTTTGATGCGAGTTGAAGAGCCTCTCGAATCCGTGGTCCGGTTTCTCTCGAATCCGTGGGTTCGGGAAGTTCATAGGTTCATCCATGGCGTACTCCGACCATCGCGTCTGTGCACCTTCAAGGACTCCAGGTTCTCCGAATTCGACAAGCCTCGGGCGGCAGAACCGCCACGCAGCGTTCAGAAGAAACGGCCATTATATGCTGTTCTGCCTCCTGTAGCCCGAGTTCAGTAATGGCAACGCAGCCGGCTTACATTCTCGCCCTGCCAAGCTCAATGCAAGGGCCACCGAGTGGACTCAATAACGGGAGTACCTTCTACCATGTCAGGGTGAAATTATGTGTCTACAACAAACCCTTCAAGCAAAGAATCACTCCAAACACCCTGCCAGTGAAAAGGAAACTCTCATAATGCATACTCGAGAGAAAAGGAACAAAAAAACTCGAAACCTTGTCTTCAGATTCTTCAGGTCCTTTTTCACGAACGGCCCCTTCTCTCCGAACGGCTTGTCGGCACCCGTCGTCCGGGCCCCTGGCAGAGCGGCACCTGGAGCAAAATCCGGTGGTCTTTCCAATTTAGGCCAAAGGGGGGAGGGCTTTTGGCTGGCCTCTCTGTAGAGTCAGAGAGAAGGTGTTTTTGTAGCACACATGCAAGATGCAGGCGCATGCAAAAGCATGCAACATAAAGCAACACTCCATGATCAATGATCTATGCATATCTATATGTCTTGAACACAAGGTGGTCCCCAGTCCACCACCGGAAACATCCACGAAGTTCTTCCGGAACCTTTGCCTTTGGGCGTCCGGGCCGCGTCGTTGTCTAAGCCCAGGTCTCTCAAGATCACCGGGTCGACCGGTTGTGCCAAGACCTGAGGCATCGAGCGGGCCCCGATGAGCCGGCCAGCCGGGGGGTAGGGGGGGCCCCGCGCAAAGCGGGCCCGTGACGGCAGAACCAATGTCTTGGAGTCTGGTGGTGGTGGTGGTGGTGGTGGTGGTGGTGGTGGAGCTCTTCGATGGCATCAGCCCAAACGACTTGGAAAGGGTCAGCCTTGCGGTGGGTAGCCGAACCCACGAGCAGGAGCGAAAACACAAGGCGTGACACATCCAAGTGGGTGGATTTATGAATCAAGAGTCTCGTGTGTGTGTATATATATATAAATATGTAAGCACCTAATTTGTTAAAACACTATAACTGTTTGTATATATGAATATAATATGTATATGTACATGTGTATATATACCTTGGAAACCTAAACCTTAGAAAAAAGTAAGGTTTGTGTCAAAAACCTGTTTTTTTTTGATTTCTTCAAGAAAAACTAGGTTATTGATGAAAAAACCAGGTTTTTGGCTAAAACCTTGCTTTTAGAGGGTTTGTTGTTGTTCCGAAGCGCTTTCTTGAAGCGTAGCGCCGCAAAGCGGCGGTGGAACCTATGAGCAGACACTCCGGAGCGGGGCCTGGGCCTCAAGGGAAGCATCAGCAACACTTTTCATTAGCACACAAGAGTGTCAATTTAGCTTTAAGACAAATCCTCACCATGAGACCACCGACATTTGGAAAATGAATTTCTAGTTTCTTGATTTCACGCATTCTGTTGGTACATCATGGTGTGACGCTTAGATGTTGAAGACTTCAGGTTTTGGAGCATCAAGCTGGTTAGTTGTGCACCTTGCCACGTAGCCGTAGCAAGCATGTCCTCTGGCTCTGTGGATGACGGGGTAAACAAATCTCGCTTTGATTCGAACCAGTTGTCAGAAGAGTGGGATGCCTGTCCTAATATCAGGGACAAGTTGCGGAATCAAAAACCACTCATTGGCCTCTCAGACCATGATGTGAAAATCCCAAAGTGTGTGGCAAATGCTGATTTGATTTCACCAGTTCTTTTGCAAGTGGGAGCAGGCACCCGCTTGCCTGAGATCGAACAGTTGCGTGAATGCGTCAGCACGCTTTTCTCCCTCAACCAGATTACTACCACAGAAGATGTGATTGATGACGCGAGCTGGGACATCCGTAAAATGCTCAGATTTGTCAAAATGAAGGCGCAACGAAGGGAAGTGAGTACTGCACTTTGGATCAAATTACAGTAAGTTTTCATCGTTTGGCGCCACCTACGATTTTCTTGCTCCAAAGAAATGCGTAGTATTTGGATGTATTTGGGTCTTCTTCTTGACTGTGCTTCAAGTCTCTCATTGCTGCTGCGGTTAAGGTAGTGGAATTCCAGTCACTGTGCCTGCTTCTCGATCCTTCTTTGGAGGACTGGTCCTTGTCAAAGTTACTGCCAAAATTTCAGCTTAGTACAGGAGAGGTGTTCTAGATTTGTTTGCATGCCATATCATGCAATGTTTTGTTAAAACATGGGATGATGTTTGCTAGTCAGGACCTTTGCGAGTGGGTCAACAATAACAAGAAGGAGGCAAAAGCAGCGGAGGAGGCAGCAGCAGCTGGTGGTGAAGAAGTGGCTGGTGAGGAAGGTGGAGAAAAAGCTGTCGTTTTGGTTGAGGAGTGGGATTGACGCACAAACAATAATATGAGATCGATTGAGAATGTTTATGCTTTGAAGTGTGGGGTTTTACATTTTCAAGATATGTTCATGTCTCTTTGGTTTTGGGGCTGTTGGATTTAAACAAAATCAAGCCTGAAGGATAGCGCTCCTCGTGATTCCGTGGAAGTGCTTGACACACCAATCTTTGGTGAACCATCCACCCCTGCGCCAATCATGGAACATGACAGTCAAGTGCCTGATAGCAGTTCGTCAGCGGTTTTGACTCCTCAACCTTTGCTTCAGCCCTCAATCATGTCAGCTTCAACTACGAGCACCTTTCAAGCATTGAAGGGGTGGTGAAAGATGTTTTTCAATTGCGGCAGGCTTCAATGCATGTAGCTCCATCAAACAGTATATTCTCGTCCACCAAAGAAACCTTTTGTGGCTAAGGTACCGCAGCCTCCACGGTCACAAAGGACCAAATGCATTCTCGAGTTGAAGAGCTTCAGCGCAGGTTGAAGGAACTGGAGTTGATTCTTGCCTCACAATATTTGTTATGTTGGAATCCTCGTTTTTACGTTTTCACAAAACTGAGATTTGAGTTTTTCTAGCTGGCATTTGGTTGAGGAATCGGAAGGGGAAGAAGGCATCGGAGGCAGCCGCGAAGGCTTACAACAGTTCAGATGCACCTTCAACCGTGGTCAAAAGTTTACTGCCTGAATATTCAGCAATGATTTTTTTACTATGGACCACCATGAATTTGATGAAGGCTCGGAAAAGAACTTTTTGTTGGGGGGGACGCTTATGGAAGAAATTTATAGAAGGTGTTGGAGAGTTGCTTTGAGTCAAGGTCTGGCACCGGAGTTCGGGCGAGCTGCGACGAACATTGACAACGTGGAGACAGTCCCCATGGACTTGGCAAGCCCTCCTGGGAGGGTCCCTCTACCAGAGGATGCTGATCCTTCAATTTCTCCTGATGATGCCAATGCTCGGCGTGCAAAGTACCAGAACGTTCCGTTAGGGTCTGCCACAGAGATGTTGGGTGGAACAGATCCACCAGCGTCACCAGCACCAACAGTTTTCATGGATCCTGATGCGGTGCCTGCTCACAAAACCGAAGCTGCCCAGCAAGAAGAGGACATTCCCCCTTCAGAGGCTGGATTAAAATTAACACACAATTTGGGGCAAATCAAAATTGAAACACTGCCGTTTGAATAGCCTAAGGTTGGAGGATAATTTGAACATTGGACATGCAGCATTAAGATCATTAAGGAATCTAAGTGAAATTAGGTATTCAAATTTGAATTTAAATTGGAATACGACATTAGGAGAGTTGAAATGGTACCACATTGTTGCAGGTCTTCACTCGACGCGATCAGCTACGTCTTCGCAGCCAGAAGAAGGAGAGCGGTGGCCGCGGGCGCGGTCGTGGTCGTGGCAAAGGGCGTGCCCGGAGCAAAAGGAATCTGCAGAAGCTCAAGAGCCGCAGCCGGTCCGATGTCGAGGAAGAGAAGTCAAGTGGCCGGCGCCGCTCAAAGAGCTCCAAGTCAGATTCCAAGTCTAAGCCTGGGAAGTTGCCTCCCAAGGAAAAAGCAAGTCCATCTCAGCGCAAACCTGACAAATCTGATCAGCAGTCCAAGAAAGCCAAGAAGGAGAAGTTTGTTGTTCAGCTGGTGCCTTTGAGTGACAATGAGAATGAGGGGGGGCAAATTCCGGCTTGGTTCAAGAATGAGCAGGCAGAGTTGGACTACTGGTGTGGGCAGATCGATTGGATGCTTGACCCTGAGAGCTTCAAGAAAGAGATCAGGAAGAACCTTGCGAAGGACACCCTTGCCAGGCCCAACATCTATTGGAAAACATTCAATTGCGGAGTCACAATGAAGTATTACGAAGAGGGTGAATGGAAGAAGCAGGACGTTGCGCACTTTTCCTTCGCCAAGAACCAAGTGGGCCTGCTAGTTGCGATCGCTTGTGCAGAGCATCTCGTTCTTAGGCTGCAGCCAGACCAGCCCTTCTGCGGTAGGTTCATCATGGTTTATCAATTACCACTATAGTGCGCAATATATAATTGGTTTGAACCATCCTAAGTTTTTGTCCGCACGGCTGTGACTCCAACCTTGCAGGCATACTTCATTGAGAGCTGCGACGAGGTCACTGATCCTGCGTCGGAGGCCTTGGCGGAGATGGAATACGCATATCTCTCCGCAGGAAAAGCCCTGATGAGCCAGTGGGAGAATGAAGTCTAGCTGATGCTTGATTTTGAAGGTCGATCAACATGTTGGGGTGTTGTGCTACCAGAGGCCGTCTGCATAGACAGCTGTGATTAGGGAAGTGATGATATCACTGGGGAATATCTCAGCTGCAGCAGCCAAGCTTCTGCAGTAGTCTTTCGTGTTTCAATATCCTTGCCGACCAGCTGGGATCTGTATTATTGTTTCTTTCGACATTCACTGTTTGTAGAAGTTGGAATTGAGAAGTTCAGTGTTATTTCCAGGGGTGTTCCATGGTGTTCCGGCTATGCGTGTCGGCAGGGCAAAGCATATCACTTTTGCAGAGCGATTCAGCAAGACAATGATTTTTTGGGGGGGCATTGGGCCTGTGACCTGCTCAGGGTAAGGTTGAAGGGTAACGTTGGCACATCTCCTGCGTTCCTGAGGTCCACATGGCGCGTCGAAGCTTGCGCCCAAAGGTCTCCCATGCTCGCAGAGTTAGGCAGAGACGGGGCAAGGCCAAACGCACTTCTGGCAAAGTTTAGCCGTGATTTGTCAGGTCTGTGCTTCTCGTGAGTACCAGTTGCATTCTTCCTTTCGTGCATTCCGCATGTTGCTTTGATCAAGTCAAGGGCACTCGCAGCAAACGTTCAACAAGGCTAGCCAGATTTCAATCTACTTAGGGGAGACTGGGGTAGTCACATAACCTTTTCTTGCAGCCGCCCATTTACGCACCATGATGCCCCTTGATGCCTTGGTTTGGAGACTTTGTGCTCTAGGGGCTCCCAGTGTGGCTTGGCTCTCCTTTTGGTAGAGTGGTCCATGGTTGTTCAAGACCGGTTTCAGGCTGAGGTTGTTGGAAGGTCAGGTGAAATGCCGACACTGTCAGATGGGTTCATTACTCAGGACTTCATTCTGCTCATCTTGTTGGTCGTTTTCACCAAGGGTCTTTACGACTTGGACAAGGACTTTTTTGAAGAACACCAGAGAATAGTGCACTTCTGGCTGAGTGGTACTGACATTATCTGACATTTGGTCTCGATCCTGCCAGCGTAAACGCAGGATGACTATGACTGGGTGGAATTTTTTGCGGACAATGCCAATTGTACAGCTTGCATCCGCAAGTTGAGGCTGAAGGGAGCTAAGTTTGACTTGAAATGCCACAAGGCTTCCGGAGGTCACAAATCCAATTACATGGACATCAATTCGAGCAGTGGCTTCATGCTACTAAGATCTCATGAATGTGCTTTTTGAGTCTGTGTCGAGTTGTTTTCTTGAGGGATAATCATTTTGTCCAGCAAGTCGTCATGCGTTTGGGATCTGAGACTCTGCATCATCTTCTTGTTGAAGTGCAAGCCAAATGACTTCTTGGCCTGGGTTGGAATAAAATGTTCAAGCTGGACATCAATGAACAAAGGCACGAGTGCCCGCAGTGCTTGCTCTAGCACTGGAAATTGTTCCATGCCCTCAGTGCTGGAAGCCAATCGAATGCTTGAAAGGAGCCATTGCTTTTACTCCACAATCCTTGTTCCTCCAGATTGTTCGTTGAAATCCGGAAGTGTGGCTAGGTTGTCATTTTGTTGTCGAAAAGCTAATCGTGACATATCGTGACATGTTTTTTTCCTCAGGACATCCCTTCTTCTTCTCCTCATTGCTGCCTGTGGTGGTGTTTTTGGGCTGGAGCAGCCAGGAAATTCCGTTCTTGAGTTCTATCCCAGCTTTCGCTTCGTGATTACAAGACTCATTGAAGTGGATGGGGTGTCAGCAGACAGGGTCTCAGACAGGGTCTCGTGTCAAACAAGGTCCCACTTAATGTGACGACTATGTGACAGTTGTGAATCCATTTGACCAACCACACGCAGCTGTTCCCTTTGCTTGTCCAAGGTCCGTCGAGCAGGATGGTGGATGAAACATTGGGGCGCAAGAACAGCAAAACGGCAGTACGCATACAGTAACTCCGCTACCATCACCAGGCTCGATCGTGGAAAGCTGACTCGTCAGCCCAATAGCCACGCTAAGGTGCAAACAGCTACCAAGTACCATGATGCTCGAGGCATTGTTAGGTACAAGGGGACCGCTGCCTTAAAACAAACAGAGAATCTTGCTTGCATGTGGTTTGCTCTATAGGCACCTAGATGGAGTGAACCAGCTGCTCAGCCTTTTGTCCCTTGTGTCTAGTTCAGCTTTCGTTTGGTAAACTCCAACTGAGGGACTACCCTTTGCCATTTGCAGAAGGTATAGCGGGAATGTTTCAGGATTTTAAGGAGCAGAAGAAAGGAAACCCGGTAGTTCCAGCTGAGATTCCTTCAGCCCGAGAGAGCTTTCTTGCCAGTGATAAGACTGCTGGCTTGGGTCTGTTTGACCACGCAGACTTGAAGTCTGTTTTTGAATACCTTAGAGGAGGTCGAGGGCTGAAGATTCCTGAAGAATGGAAGAATGTGATCCCGAGATCTCTCTAAGTTGGGGTTCCAACTTTTTGGACCTGGGTCAGGCATGAGCAGCTAGCCTTCTAATCAGTTGCCGATCAATTTTTAACAAAATCCGGTGATTTTCGATCAAATTCCGGTGATTTTCGCTAAACAAAAAGCAAGGTTTACCACAAAAACCCATAAAACACCATTAAAAAAACCCGTAAAAACATCATAAAAAAAACCCATAAAACACCATAAAACATCACGAAACATTGAATAACCTAGTTTTAGTAAACCCATCGAAAACCCATAAAAACCTCATAAAATCCCATAAAAACCTCATAAAATCCCGTCGTGCAAAAGCAAGGTTTTTGGCTATAGCTGCAAGTCTGATTTTGAAGGTCCCAAATTTGATGCGCACCAATTAGATTAATATTTTATGGGAACTCATGCTCGTTGATTTGGAAAAAAACGCATATGTGCAAACTGACGCGAGACACTGTTAAATACACTGGTGATACAGATTTTCCTGCAGGGGCCTGGTCAAAGGGAAATACAACATTGTGCTTTTGTCGTTGGATTGCCGATTGCTGCAGGGAGTTTCGTGACAGGATAGACAACAACTCGATGCTGTTCAAATCCTGGCATGCAGCAGAAGAAATCAATACCTTTTTTTCCAAGTTGTACCGAGAAGGTGTGTGGATTGTTGCTCCGAAGGGGCTTGAAATCAGCACTCATGGGTTCAACTTTTTGAGGTGGTTTGGACGCCTTGCGCGGCAGGCCTTCGAAGATCAACGAGCACTGTATCCATTTATGCCTAACTTACACCGAGTTCATGAAATTTGTTTCTTGATGAAAGATCAATGTGATCATTTTGGCGTTTGCCTTTCTCCACTAGTGTTTCATTGCGCCATGGAGGAAGATTTTATTGGTCGCCCTTCTAGGATAAGTAGAAGGGTATCAGTGCAACTTGCTGTCACTAGAACCTTGCAGAGGTCACTCATTGCAGCGCATGCACATTTTAGGGACGCTGGCTATCTCAAGGACCTCTAAAAAGGAGGATGCCTAAGGATTTTGAAGCCTGAACAACCTCTGCAGAAAAGTGGCTGCTGCCCAGAAACGAAAACCAGGTTTTCCACTCAAAACCCTATGTTTTCATACGAACCCTGCTTTTTTGTAGGGTTTGGGTTCTGTAGGTATATATATATAGTTTCATGACATAAATCAAGATCAGCTCCACTCAGCTCCCACCTTTCTACCAGCCGCATCCTGGGCCACGGCACGCTCAACTTCATGCTCTCACCGTATTTCTTCACCCTCATGGCCTCAAAGCAGCATCGGCTGAGATGCCCAAAAGCAAAACCGTCCAACTCCGTCCAACATCATCACAAATCAAAACAAGTCTAAATCCGTTGGTTCCACTGATGCACGATGATGCACGATCTACTTTCAGCCGGCTTAATTAGTTAGCTTGGTCTGATGGATTTATATACTGAAAGATTTCCAGGAACAGCTGACGCCACAAGAACCACAACTACCACAACCACCGCAGTTTCAAGACCAGCTCGGAGAACACCTCCACCCGACCCCACCGTCCCCCTCCCACTGGCAGCCCGCACCATCTCTGGCTCATCCAATGGTGCAGGAGGCAAGCTGAAGTTCACCAGCTTTTGCTCCATGCCTTAGGGAGACCCCGTGGCCAGATGCGTTTTGGTCTGTTTTGGGTCTGCTTTCAGAACCTTCCAGAGGGTCGGAACGTTTGGGAGGCATTCCGATGTTCATGCGCACCCCTAGCATGCTGCAGCAAACCAACGGACTTGGGTCGAAGCCGTTGAAGGCTTCCATGCCCCGTAGAAACACTCCCTGTTTGTTGCATTGCGCCATGCAAGCCATGCACGCAGCGGCGTCAAAAACCATGTCAAACGACGGCTCACGGCTCCCTCCGGAGCTGGCGCCGTGCTCAGGACTCCGACTTTCTAAGACTTCGGTGTGCTGCTTGGAAGGGCTTTGTTCCGCTGATAGCGGGGGTCCTGGTACGCGCACGGGCCGGTTGAACGTCGATGACCAGTGAGCTGCCCAATGAAATAACGACAATGCAGGCGGCCTGACCTTTTGCGGTTGTATGGCGCTGTGCCATCTACTTCTTGCAAACCGCCTAAGGAGCACCTACCGACACGTAAGCTCGCTTCTTCTCCTCTCGACACGCGACACGTCCGGACTTGTCGCTAGGTGGTTCTTCCGAACCTGTCGAACCTGCTGCGATGACTCTTTTGGCGTACGAACGGTGTTGCATCGACAGAGGTCTTTTTGAGGGGCCAACAGCCCGGCGGGTAGCAGAAGCCCGCCCGCTGTGATTCATGGAGCGCGCAGATTTTAGCGCGCCCCCCCACTCGTGCACTTTGGCAACTGGCTGGAATCGGAATTTCTATGCCATGCAGTATCGTAATTAGGTCACTAAAGCCTAAAGCACTAAACTGAACTTTCTCAAGTTGCCCATTGCCGCCAGACTTGTGCTCCATCCTCCACCACCATTGAGATGCGTGCCCACTTCGAGACATGGGAGATCTCCTCCATTCGTTGTGAAGCATCGGCATTGGTCCAAGCCGTCAAAAGGCCAAGGTTCTCATCAAAGATTAGCTCTTGAAGCTTTCGGTTGAACTCCTCCTTGTCGGGAATCTTCGACAGAATGGCGTCCACATCTTCTGGACGAGTGGCAGTCATCTCTTGCACTTTGAGGCCTTCTAGACCTCAGGCTGCTCCAGCTGCTCTAGCAGCTTGGAGTTTGGAAGCCCCCGAACGGATCGAAGGTGGCAGGTGTTTGCTCAAAGTCAAAGAAAGAAAGCTTTCTTGGAAAGGAAACAATATATATAGAGAGAGAGGGACAAAAAAGACAGACAGAGAGAGAGAGAGCACAATGTATATATATAATTATATATAATTACATAATATGACTGTAATATGATACTATAATTATACGATTCTAACCGGCAAGCAAACACCAAGAGGCTGCCCCGTCTGCTGCGCAAAGTGGCCTTATTCTGGACCAGAAGACTCTGCGCCATACCCATTCGCTGAGCCTCTGCCAGCTCCGCCATACACCAAGCCCTGTTGAAAAGTTCCAAAGATGTATCAACAACTACCACCTCAGCAAAAGAGGGATCTCTGCATGCGAGGAAGGACATCATGTCATCAAACTTGTTCATCTCACAAGGGATGCTCTCACCATGCTCATTCAAAGGTGGTGTGGTGTTGAAGCGTTTGGGCATCGTGCATAGACACACCGGATGTGGGAGCCTTGTGACTGGATCAATGTCTCCACGGGGGTTCGCCCCACAAATTCCACTGTGCTGATTCACAGCAAAAGCACAAATCCAATATATATCCTGCAACTTGTCTTGTACCCTCAACACTTGCTCCAGTGCATTGATGCCAGAGGGCTCGGACAGCAAGGCAGAAATAAGCTCAGATGTGTGCTCTCCAAGGGCGTCTGCTATGACACTCGCCAGCAGGTCCCGGAAAAGGTTAGACCAATTGTGGGTCACCATCTTTCCGGGCATCAAACTTTCACCTTCGTTCACTAGTTGGGCATACGAAGAACATGCCGTTGAGGTCGATGGGATAATTGCCAGTCTTACCACATCATTGGTAGTATGCACATCCGGCTGGTACGACAACATGACATCCTTGCCCAGCCTCCGGTAGAACGACAGAAGCTTCTGCACAGATATTCCGCGACCGGCCAACTCCTGAGTCTTGGCCTCCCATTCACTTCCTCCGATGGCTCGTGTCCGCGTGATGCGGTGACTGAAGCTCCAGCACGTGTAGCTACATCTTTTTGGCTTGGCTGTTTGGAGTGAAGGTTGCCTCCACAAGCGGTAGCCCCCAGAAAGCAAAATCACACCAATGGTTTTCACAATCAGGTTCACACACTGCGCGGTCTGGGTGTGGATTCCTGTGATGTCAAGCGGGGTTTCCGGAAGTAGCCCCGCAAAATTCGTGGCCACAAAGCTACAGCTGGTGCTGAGGCTGATCACCAAGCCCAAGCCCTGCAGAAAAGCTCCTCTCCGGCAAATCCGTAAAGCCTTTAAAAAGGACCGGCAGTGCTCGGTGTCGGTCTGGCGGATCGTGGCCAGTGCGGTCTGGAGGAGTGAAAATGTCTGGCACAAGGTGGCAAGAACAAGGACCACCCACGTGAGGAAGCACAGCAGAATCGGCAGTATGGAATAAATGGATGCATCGCTGATCTCCTTGAAGTCCAGCGTTCCAGGACGTGAAAAAGAACCACTCAGCCAGAGGATGAAGCTCAGCGTGACCCACATGAGCTCTGCCCAAAGCATCCACCTCAGCCACACGCCCTGTCTCGGCCGATTCAGCGCTGGCCAAATGCTTTGGAGACGATCTTGTACCAGTGCTTGGATGCAAATAATTTCACAAACCAGTAGGAGGACCCAGAACGTCTCAAGGAGGAAAGTAAAGCGTTTGGAGTGAATGTCAATGCCTGGGCTCTGGGAACTCGAGACCATGAAGCTGAGAAAAACAAGGCCCTCGATCCAATTGAGGATCAAAAAATGAGACGCTTGAATCAGGTGCGAGGTGATGGCCTTGCACCACAACCACAGAGCTCCGCAAGCTGCTAGGGCCGTAGAAGCGATCAAAGCGTGGAACATGATGATGCCATATTCTTGGAATACCAATTTGAGCCCAGTGGCTCCAAGACAGTAGCTGTCCGCTCCAAAGTCGCAGGTGCCAAGCAAGGCCGCAGCCCAGCTACACAGCACCACGAGGACAAGAGCACTGGCCATCTTGCAACATGGGAGTGAAGCGAAGGTACATCTTCCAGCCGTGGCGAAGCAGCTTCGCCGGGTTTCCTCGTCCGCCTCGTCAGGATCTCGGTCACCTGTTTTTGCCGGACTCCGTCTCTCATCTTCCTGGCCGGACTCCGTCTCCATGGCTCATCTTACTTCACTGAGCCCAAATGGCTTCATTCGACCATCAAGTGAAGCACCCTGGAGGCCGCCATCGTCACCACAGTGGTTGGGGGCAATCATGTGCATACTCTGAGGCTTCCCTTGACACATAGCCCCGCCAATCTGTTGTAGAGGCATGGTCCAATAACAAATATGGAAGTGGACAAGTCCCAGGGTGTAGAGGAACATGATCTGCCCACATTTTTGACCTCCATGATTGCTTCAGGGAGTGTATGTGGTCCTACTGGCGGCTCTGGTCCAGCATCATTCAAGAGTCGCCATGGACTGTCCCTACCTCAAACTCTAGGAGTTGTGGCCTCAAACTCTATGAGTTGCGGACAGCTCATGTGACAAAACCATCGTCGAATCGTCTGAGTCGAAAAGAAAAGAACTGACGCGCAGGACTTGTGACTTGTCAGACGTGGAGTCCGTGGAGGCGGGTGTAGTGGACAGTGACGTGGAGTGATGCGGAGTAGTGCGTTTTATTTGGTGATGTGGTGGAATGAATGACGGTTGTGAAGATGTTGTGAGTGTTTTCTGAAGGCGGTGGGGATTGGCGACGGGGTGAAGTGATATGAAGTGTGACAGCATTGATGTGGTAAAACCCTTTCCACCGCCAGAATGTCGGAAAAAGGTACACCTGAAAGGTCAGGTAGAAAACTGCCTGCCTGAGATCAAAACTGCCACAGCACCAGCAAACGCCGATTTCTGCCCTCTCCTCCCAGGAACTGACGCAGCATAGGCGTCTTCACCTGCCAGTTTCCCCCGTAATCCCCCGCAGCCATTGACCCCTCCCTTCTCTGTGTCATCCATCGCCTTCCGGACAAATCGGCGAAGTTCGGACTCCGCGTCCGGGCGCGCGTTCCAAGGCCGGGTGCCTCTGGTTCCAAGGCCAGTACCCCCAACAAATACTGCTCCAGGGACGCCTGGCGCGCGTGCGGGCGCTATCCGACGTGCGATCCACGCGTCGCAGCGGGCTGACGGCGCAACGGGCTGACGGCGCCGGCCTGTCGGCTCGCGATGAAGGCGGGGTCATTGTTCCCGAAGAAGCGCTTCGCGGGGAATTGTGGCCTCAGTTCGAAGGAAGCCCTGAAAAGCGGGAGTTGGGAGGTGCTACTTGGTTTTGGTTCGAATCCAGAAGCTTCAAGGTTCTGCCCGTTCTTTTCTGGTCCCAAACTCCCCCAATTGCATTTGTATCTCTTCCGTCAGATGTATCAAATGGTTCTCCTACTGCATCTCGATCGTCCTCTTCTGGCGTCCTCCTCTCCCCCCTCCTCTCCCCTGGGCGACTCTGCAGGCTCTCGGGGTAACGAAGCTTAAGCTCATCGTTCAGCTCCCGGAGCTCCCGGTAGCGCCTCGGTGAGTAGAGTCCCCCCCCGGTGTCCGAACGCGACACGCGCGAGGTCCAAAGGAAGCCTCCAACAAAAACAAGTCCAAACACACCTCTTCCATCTCATATTCCTGATATCATCCTCTCCCCAGTTGGTTGCTGTTGGCTTCCTGGGGGGCTCCAACAAACAAGGGGAGTAGAGGTGGACCATTGTAGAAGTCCCTGAAGCCTCTGGGGACGTAGATGTGACTCTGTGCTGCCCTCTGTCTTCGCCCTCACAGTGCGGCCGGGCGGCTTTTGTACATTCCAACTGGCGCCATCCGAGTTGGTCACCTCGAAGGAGCTTTGGTTTGGTCATACAGTGCTGAAAGAAAAGTTGCTCATGGAGGAAGAAGTGAATTGAATATATTAATATATACTATAGTGCTGGAACTGACCTCTTATCTGACCAAGGTCTGGAAGTGGTCTCTACATACGATCCATTATTATCCGCTTGCCACTCCAAACAAAAGTGCACGTCAACGGGATGTGATGTCTGGAATGGGTCTCGATCAATCTTTCCTCTCGAACTCTTCAGGGATCTGAAAATGGAGGCGTTGACGGTCTCAAAACCTCTAGCGATCACAGTTTGGGGTCTCCCTCCACGTCGAGCTGTCATCCGGCATTCTCTCTTCGACATGGAAGCCAACCGGGTGGAGCTCGGGAGCGTCATCCAACCCGAAGCGGATCAGCTCTCCACCTGGCCTTGATCACATAAGTGGTGTGCCCTTCGGCTGAGGTGTTTCCGATAAACCGGACCTCAGCCGACTGGGAGATGGGTGGCGCAGGCTCAGCGGACGAGGCGGGGTGGAGTGGGACGTGGCAAAAGGGGTATCGTTTGGCCCTTCCGTCTAGGTCGGCTGTTGCGTGTTTCTGGGTAGCTCTCCTGAAATTGTTGAACCCTTCTGGGCATGGCAACTCAATAGATTCCCTTTGCAGGTTCCAAGTCGTTCGTTTGCAACCCTTCACCTCATAAGCTAAGACCTTTCAGAAACCGGTGTTGTTGCACTGATACGTCCTTTTACGCACCACTGTCGGGGAAGGGTTTCTCTCTAGTTTCGGACCTCAGGGATGTTTCATGAATCAACATGCAATGCACAAAGATCTGCAATCCACGATTCTTTTCCTTTCCCAAATCATAGCGCAGCGCCGCTCTTGTCAGCAAAAACCCGGCTTCTACCTGGTCTACCTTTGCCGAACTTCAAAGCAACAATGTAGACTCCACTCATCCATTCAACAGCAGCCTCCCTAAGGAATGGGCTGCTGGACATTCTCGCCCACCTGGTACAGAAGGCGCCCGTTGGCATCCCTCACTTCATTGAACAAAGCCCCGTACAACCGCAATTGACCTTCACGGTTGAAGTCAAGGCGGCCCTCCATCGACAACCAGCGGAATCCCAAATCAGTGATGTTGAGCTCAACGATGACGTACTTCTTAGGATCACCATCCTCGGGGTTGGCCATCTGCTCGAGGTTCTCCTTCTCATTCTCCACGGAGTCCGCCACACGTTTCTTGCTGGGCGGTTTCCATGTGTTGAATGTGTATCCCCTGTTCAAGGCCTCCTCCGGGTTGTCACGGAGCCCGAAGCGAGCACTGTAGGGATCGGGCTCCACTCCATGTCCACGTTGCAGTGTCTGAAATTGTGATGGGCTCAAACCAATGTACTTCCGCAGCGGCTGCAATGGTGCAGGAACCGGAGCCAGCGTCAACGCCGAATCAAATGCTGCCATGTTCTCACAAGAAGAAGGATCTTGAAAAGAGTCACAGCTTGGTGTTCTTGTTCATTGTGTACCCATTCTTAAGCCTAGATGTGAAGGTGAAAAATACAAATGTGCCCGCTGTGCACGTCTCTGGCACATCTTCCTTGATATCATGCGGCGATGTAATGAGGAAACGTGCATACAGCTCACATGCGATTAGTACATGAATGCAAGATGTACACAGTGGAGTTCACCACCTGTCAGTTTGGTAATTCGGAAAATTCATCCAATGTCATCCGCGTAACCATGATTCGGAGATAAGAAGCAAGCGACCCTTCCCTTGGATGCATTCACGGCCTCATGAACATATCATGAACATATCATGCAGAATTCTCAAGAGCGACGCCCTGCTTCCATCGCCCTGCTCCCTTTCTTCGCATCTCCGCGGGTTCGCCGGGTGTCCCGGCATGAAACTGGGGCGTCACTTCGCCTTGGATGAACAACGGGTGGCCATAAAGAGGTGACAAAAAAGTACCAAGCTTCTCCTGGCTGAACTCATGGAATTTTGAGATCTCGGAGTGAAAGAACTTAGTGGCAAGTTTGAGAAGAGCTCCTGAACTCCTCATCTGATCATATCAAATCATATCATATCCCATCTGATCCATCAATCCGCGTATCATCCTGTCTCGAAGACACACCCAGCATATCCCAGCATTCTGTCAAGCTGCCCATGGACGCCCGGTCGGGCACCACACACCCCCCGGCCACTGTCAGATCGCGTTTGAGGTGGGCGACGCTGCGGTTTGGACGCACGGGGTGAAGGGGAACTCCGGCACGAATGGCTCGCAGCTTCATGAAATGCTGACTTGTGCCTAGCAAGGAATGAGGGAATGGATCCAAAGGAATCTCTATAGGGGGGGCGCATTCCCTTATTCCTAACTAAGCACCAGTCAGAATGAGGAGCCCAGTTCCTGAGCTCCCTCCGAAGCTCCAAATACTGTAGATTCCGAAGAAAAGGGACATGGACGTGGACAACTGCTGGACTGTCTCACAATAGGATGACGACTGGCCGTCGACAGAAGCTCGCGGCCCCCCGCAAGGCGCGGTGGACCCCGCAATGGTCTCTTTCGCACGGCCCGCGGACTTTCTCCTAGACACCCCGACTCCGACTCAGGAGCGCCTGCGGCGCCGGGGGCCGAGAAAGGAGGCGTGTGGATGGCGTGGGGCCGTGGGGCGTCATCTGCAGATCGTCCAGGTGTCAACGGTCCTGTCAACGGTCATGTCCAGTGTGTTGAGTGAGGGGGGTGTCTTCCATTTCACAGGCTCCAACTGCGAGAGATGTCTGAGGTGCTTGAAGTTATGGGCAGCACGCGTCTCCCGAGACATGTCCAATTGATGGCTTGGATCACTGACCTCACTTTTTCCGCACGCGGTTCTTCAGGCATCGTCAAAATGGCTGGGTCTGTAGCTTCTCATCGACGGGCGCATCTCAGGTATCCGGAACTGCGGCTCGAAATCGGCGTCGTCGAAGTGCCTCTGCACCTGCCCCTGCGCACTGATCGAAGTACCACGGCGTGACATGGCACTGCGAACTCAAAAAGGTCTATATCTGCAAAAGCTCATGTCTTACTAACAATTATAAGCCTATCCAGATCCAGGCCAAATGATTCTGATTAAAGATTGATCTACGATCATCTAGGATCTGCGGTCTACGATGATGAGACCCGGAGTCACTCCTGACGACTTCGTCTCAAGGCCTTGGGCGCTTGCTCCTTCCGCAGACCCTCCCGGGCAGTGAAAGAGGACGAGCTGCCGCCCTGGGTCATCGGCTGATGTGAAAACACGGGAGAAGAATCAACTTCAAACCCACAAAGATCACAAAGCCAATCACGGCCATGGACATCATCATGCGTGATGAGAACCTTCACAAAACCATGCCAATGAATGCCAATGACATGCATTTCGTCACTGTTCATCACTTGTCACAGGGCAGACGAATGTGTCCACGCTGTGTCCACCTCAGTCCTGATGGCCACCAAGCCACCGAAAGGCTCCCGGGCAGCAGGGTCTTCCTCTTCGGCGCAGCCGGCGCGGCGTGAGGCGCGGCGCCAGGCGCGGCCTCTACACGCGAGGAGCTCGCTGCGGGGGCCTGGTGCTCTTGCCAGGCTTGGCTCACGGCCAGCGGTTGCCTCAGCGAAGTCACTGGAAGCCACTGGAGGCTGGGCAGGTCAACCCACGGAAATTCGACGCTGGGCGGCTGGGAATTGCTGCTAAGCGGCTTCAACACAATAATCATAATATCTGTGCTCTCCATGTGCTACTTATTCTTGCAACTCTAGGATGGAAAGACCAACCGGAGCACTGAAATTGCTTATTATTATGAGTTTGATCATTGTCATAAGTTACATGGCGACCCATCTCTGGTGGTGACACCAAGTGGACTAGCAGCTAGCAGGCCAAATCAGACAGCTCCACTTTCTGGTTCAACAAACAAACAACACCAACTGCTCCAACCCAAAAAAAATCCCCCAAGAGAAATCCCATGAAATGCCCAAACCTCCCAAGAAATTCTGCGCCCAGTTAGGCTTGAGCCTCCAACGGCTCAACTCCCACAAATCCACCCGGTCAAGAAATGCTTCCACCCTCAGGGCTCCCTCACTTGGTCCCCGGAAGCCGCTCCTTGGAGCCTTCCTTCACCTGCCTGGCATGTGAGGAGAGCGAGAGGAGAGGGAGATGTCGCCAGGGAGAGGCTGGATTGAAGCTGAAGCAGTTTAGTCAGCATAGATGAGAACCGATGAAAATTAGTGGCAACAATTGACAACGGTCAGGTGCTTCTCTTTGAGAAGCGCATGACAACTGCTGACGTTGCATCAGTCTTCTCATGTCCTCCGAATCAATCTATGAAGCTCTCGCACTTCTCCTCCTGTTTCCCCACATGCGCGCAATGCACATGTGCTGGCGCTCCTCCGCCGAAGCTTCTCATCCTCCTTGGCCTTTTGGACCACCTCGAACCCCTGCTGCTGACGAAGGAAGTAGTTGCCTCGAAGGATGAGGTCAACTTTTTTGTTCTCAACCCTGCAAGGAGCCGGTTGAGTTAGTGTCCCTCGCATTCTTGCCACCAACTAGTATTCTCGCCCCTCCCGAGCAAAGGACGGGATTTAAAAAGCACAACTCAATACCACTCGTGTCCTAACAAGTGCTTGATCTTGCAAGCTTAAGTCCAAGTGAGCTTTACTGATGTGCCCAAAGCCAAGAAAACGTTCAAACTTCCCCGAGGCGTGCTCTACCGGCACCACAGCGGGAGTCAAACCCGGCTTCGACCAATTCAAACATCTTCAAACCCGAGTCGACTCGGGTTCGGGCGCTGGAAGTTCCCTGCAGATTGAAGTTCAAACTCAGCTGGGAAATCACATACTGCCCATCTGATTGGTGAACGGTCATGAGGGGTAACTTGACTGTCCATCTCACCCCTCTGCGCTGATAGAGCCTTGAGACCTCGTTTTCAAACCAAGGTGCCGATGGCCATTTGTGACAGAACCTGGCGGTGTCCAAGGCGGCCCCCTCCCCGTGATTTCGGAAGCCGGAGAATCTGGAAAACACTGAGACTGACACGGTCGAAACCTTGAGCCACGCAATGAGTCATGCGCCGGGGCCCTCCAGAAGCTGAAAAAGATCAGACCCATCCAAAAGCTGCAGAACTAGTAGCTCTAAATGTACGGCAGTCTGCCCTGCCATCACAAGAGTCGCCTGCATCTCCTCGTTGTAGAGGTGATGGTTCCGCTTGGCATCCTCAATCGCAAAGACCTGCCGGACCTGGAGCAATGAAACTGCTAGGCACAGCTTCTGCTTGGATTTCTCTGTTCAAAGAACTAGGAGAACTGCTTGGAACTGAAGCAGTAGAAACTAAGAGATTGAATCCCAAATGCCCCGCCTCTAACTTAGCAAACATCGTGAGCTCAATACGGTCAACAGGGTCAACCAATATGGCCTATTAGGGCCGGGATCGCCACCACTGGTCCCTCAGCCCAGAAAAGCCCCAGTCGTCCGGTCCTCCGATTGATCCACCTGAGCTGACCTCGGCCAACTGTGCCGCTCCCACGTGCCGCCGGGGGGATCAACGGGAAAGGCACCATCCATGGGTTGCCCTGGGGCATTGGGCCGCCCGAAAGGCGCCCTCCTTGGGGCAGATCATTTGCGAAGCCATGTGTTTGCCCCTCTCATTGGCCCTGTCTGAGGTCGTGAAAGTCCCCGGATGGCCATGCACCGAACTTACTACCGAACTTGCATGAACCCAGACAGGTGAATAGATTTTAAGTGATTAAGATGCTTGCAGATATTGGATGATATTAGTAGAGCAGTCAGTCACCTGCAACGACCTATTTCATCGATCAAGTAACTTCCCTTAGGAGCCACTGCAACTGCACACCTCCTCCTTCGACAAACTACCACATGGTGTCCGATGTCCAAAGGCCCCATGCGAGGAGGTCCATGAACGTCATGAACGTGGGGTTTCTCTTCAATGCCGGTGGACACCTCCTAAAGAGATTACGGGACCATCTCGGTAAAAAAGAACTGCCAACCCACCACCACTGCAGGAAGCTGCACAGGGAGAATGACGACGAAAACGCGTCGTCATGAGTCAAGCCGCATGTTGTCGGTGATGGTGCAGAAACTCCACCTAAGCCGGTTGAGATGTGTTGCGGTGTTCGCATCCCTCAAGTTTCCCGATGCATCCCAGAGAGGCCCATCCCAGCTCCATGATAGGGGTCAAGTTGCAACTCATGGGAATTGGTCATTTCAGTTCATCCCTTCTGGCTGCAGGTGGCCGCGTGCGAGACACCATGGGCAACACATGGACGTCCGTAAGGCTCCGAACGGCTTCACTTGCGAGGATGGCGTCCTCGGTGCAGTGAAGAATCCATCACGCGTCAGGTTACGTCTCGGCCCTTCGAGTCCAAGGACGTGATGCTTGGTGCGAAGGCGTGCCTATAAACAAACCCCCCTGCTTTCCAAAAAGACCGGCCTCAGGTGTGTCCAAGAAGTCTAGAGTTCCAAAGCATCCTCAAGCCTATTGTCCAGGTCAAAGGTGCCACACAGGGGAACGGCCCTCCGTCCGACTAGCCGCTAGCCCTTCGACCAAAGATCCACGTCGAACCCCGTAGTGGGACATGTCTACGAGCGGAGGTGGCTTTTTGGGCTTCGCCACGCCTCCGCTCGACGCCCAACCTCCTCCGCTCCGCCAACCTCCTGCCGGAGCGTCTGGTACAAAACGATAGCCATGGTCTCGGCCGCTGAGGGGGGTAAATCTTCCAGCGCCTGCAGTGTGGCTCCGGTGTCCTGGCTGTCGGTCTGGGGTGATGTGTTTTCATGGTGTTCATCATCAACCCAACAGTCCAATAGCCAGCGAAAACCGCCAAATCTATGTAATTCAGCTGGGGATTCATGTAGGTTCCCCCTTTGAGCCTTTACAGGCACACATACGGCACGGCCAAAAAGAAACACTCCAATTGTTGATGACCTGGCGTTTTTTAAAATCAAAAGCCCACAAAAGTGGCATCTCTCTCCTCCGCCTCTGGGACGTCTGAGGGGATGAGCAACTCATCCAAATACTCGTCCACCGGCGCCACCGGCCGCGGTGCCCAGGAGCCATCGTCGCCGTCCTAGACCGGCTGGTCTGTCTTCGCGGGTTGAAAGGAAGTCCTGAACGATCATCCTCCAGTACCAACATGGAAGCCGTACCGGAGGGGAGTGTGATCACTGACCACTGATCACCCTTATAGAACATATCCACCCAACCATTGCAACTCTCAACCACCACCCCATTCCCCCCTGTGGTAATCCAACCCACCGAAACCTCGGTCCCGGCGCGCTCGGAGCCGTGACCGCTCCTCCAAGGCCAAGTCCCCGTCCGCCAGGCATCGCCGCCCATGGAGCCCTCCCCAACGCACGAAGCGCCCGGTCGCGTCGCGACCGGAGCCCAGGCCCTCGACCACCGCCTGGCGGGCTGGAGTGGCGGTTGGGGGAGTGGCGGGCTGGAGCTGGTGGGGACTTGAAGCACCTCAACCGTCTGGGGCTCTAATCTGCCTCACCACAGGTGGATACATCGGATATGCGGCCTTCGCGGACCAGTGGCATGAAACTGCCGGCAGCACATGTCGCGCAAGTTGTTGCCGATTTGTGCGTTTTGGTGATGGAAGTCCGCGGATGACCGTGCCAAGTCTTCAAAACAAATGAGCTCCACCGCAGCCCTCATGAAGGGCAGCGCCTCGTAGTCGCTGTCCTCACCCTCTACGGGTAATGCGTTCACGTCTGGCCTGAGAAGAACCAAGTAGCTTAGCTTGAGTACTTCGCACTGTGCCCCATTCCTCTTCCAACACATGGAAGGCCCTGGCAAATGAGGTGCTCTACCACTGCCATCACGACTCTCACCATCAAATTATCACGATGATCTGCGTGCTGCTCTGGGCCGCCCGGGCTGTTTCTCACACTCCGTGTCCTTCGTCTCGCTACCACTGGCGCAGCCCTCGTCATCCGAGTCCTCGCCGAGAGGATTCGGAGGCCCTGAGCCTCCTGCGGCCTGGCTCCCCGTTTTCCGAAAGGAAGTGGACGTCTACAGGACCTGACGAGGGGAAGAATATGGAAGAACATGTAATTTGTCAGACCCATATTTGGTTCACAAGAATCTAATAGCCATAGTATTTATGCATATTTACCCAGCATGGACCCCACGCTCCAGCAGGCTATAGCAGGCTCTTTGGCGAGGCGGTCCTTTTCATTCCCAGGCACGTAGCCTTCTTCCCACCAATACCGAACTCCTCAAGTGGCACGGCTCGCTCATCAAGTTAAGGGCAGGTTAGCCACAGTCTTCGATTCGCAAATGATTCTGGAAAGGTGAAAACCAGTGCAGGTCCTGCAACAGCAGCAATCTTCCAGACCCCAAGTGGATCATTCTGTGTTATTGTGTTATCCGTATGCGGTACAATGCATGGCAACTGACGACGACGAGAATCTGCAAGCCGAGGGGCGCTTTTTGTTCTTTTCTTCCAAGATCACTTGACCTTGCTCAGCCTCAACCTGGCCGTGCAAGCGCGACACGAGAGCCCAAAGAGAACCCAAACTGCTGCAAGCCAGTTGAAATTGGGGGACATTATAGGAAATACTCCCCGGCTGGCCATCTCCATCACTTGTGCAGGTGGCTCTTAAAGCATCTGTGACATCTGCGTCACTTCTACGCCCAGCAATACCTTGGAGCCCAGTTATCTAGCAGCACAAATTTATGTCCTCCATGCCCTGCTCATGCTATGCATCTCCGCGGTTCTTGGAAGCTGATTCGCACCTGGTCCGCAGCCTCCGCCACTGCGCTGTGTGGGATGTTCGCCATGGCAGTCGCAGTCCCAGGTGCCAGTGGGGTGAGGATGGATTGGACCGTGGCGGATAGGGTGGACTTCGTGGCTCGACAAACATCCTCGACTCGCCCCTGCTGGGGGGCCTCAGAATGAGATGTTCTCGCAGATTGGGGGTTGCGCAAAGCATCCATCCATACCAAATCGATGTTTGATTTCGATGTACATCTGTCTACGGAATTGGCTGTGGCCGGACTTCAAGTCAAGCTTGTGCTGAGGTTCAGCTGTGTGCTCCTCGACTGACCGATCTCACCTCAGTCTGAATGACAAAAACCAGGCTCGTCAGGTGAAACGTCTGGCATTGAGCAAAGTGGCGGGGTCGATCTTCAGCCAGAGCACGACTTCCACAACTTGGCCCCAAAAAACAACAATTTGTACTCCCTTGCTGCCTCGTGCAGGTACTTCCTACCAATCTAGGCCCCAAAAACTATACCCATGGCCCATGCCAATTGTTCTTGCATCTTGTTCCCACGCCATCAAAAACTCCATCTCAGTGGACACCTCCGCCAACTTACTCTATGCCCTTGCCCCCCCCTCGCCCCCCCCCCCCAGAACTCCTGCAACTCCTGCTTGAAGGCGCCGGTGCCGTTCGGCAGCCCGTGGCGGCCCGGATGATCGAACCAGGCCACCTGCGAGGGCTCGTACCTCGGGGCGCTCCACCCGCGGATGGCGGCGGGTCGTCCGAGTTCGACTCCGGGAACCCCGTTGGGCCACGGCGACATGGCACTTGCTGGGAAGTTCGATGCACTTGCTGGTCGCTGCTCGGGAACTGGACCGTCAATGCCGTCGCTTCTCAATCGCTTCTCAAGCTCCATCGAGTTTCAAGCACCGCGCCCACCCACCTTAATAAGAAGCTCTCTCTCTCTCTCGCTTCTCAAGCCTTCAAATGTCCACCTGGTCCAGGCCGCTTTGGATGTATATTACAGGCAGAAAAATGGAAACACAAAAACATTAACAAACCCAATACATCACTGTTACATCACAAAGCAATGACTACTTGAACTTGGATGTGTAACAAGAATCCATTGAATTGATCTATATGTATTGTATGCATTTATGGTATGTATGCATGTACAGTATGTCTATCTATCTGTCTATCTTCCCTTTTCCCCACCACGCCCGGGCATCCCAGGGGCCGCCTTTGGGCCCCGCACAGCTCCGCCAAGGCCTCGCTCCGGAGCCGCGGCACCGACACGTCGTTCACGCCTGACGGTCTCGGTCGGTCACGCGGAGCCCGTTCCCACGGTGTCAACGGCTTTGGGGTCCGTTCCCAGCTTGTTCCAAGCGATCTTCCCTCTCTGTATGTCATCTCTGGTCCCCATTCTGCTGCAGGACTCTCCGGTGTTCCACAATTCTTGCAGTTTCGCTCGTAGCTTTTGAGCAAGAGCAAGGTACATTTCAAGTCAAGTGCTTCCACAAGTTGTGGTTCATGTAATTCAGCGTTCAAGCATTCAAACGCATCAACCTTGGGCAAGGGTCAACCTTGACCTTGCTAATTCATTTCAAGTTGGCTTCAAGTCAAAGGTCAGTTCATGGAATTCAGTGTTTCACTTTGACCTGGCCTGAGACATGCAACGACTGAAGGCTCAACCTGCGCGCAGCTGAGGTGCTGAGAGGTGAGGGGTGGGATGACGGCCCAAGCGCCCCGAGACGATTAGTCCAAGTCAACCGAGGTCAAACTCTATATTTATATATATATATATAAATATATATATATGCATTAACAAAGAGGTCAGATATATTTATATATTATATATATATATGTGTGTGTGATATAATGTAATATTATGTAGTATTATATTCTCGAAGGGTGGGAAATCAGGGATGCAACTCGCTGCGACAACCTAGCATTTCCTGGACTAGCTGTACATCGACTAAGGTCTACGGTCTAGCTTACAACTGGCGCTCTCAGGGAATGAAGACTTGTTGTCAGACTTGCGCGAGTCCGCTGCAATCCCTCCGCTCTGACTCCCATCATTCCACCTCGTGTCACCATCGCCCCGCAGCTTGGCCGCCTGGGCATGTGTTGTTCCCCGCAGCACATAAAATCACAGAGCTGGAGAACTACAGAAAGAGCGCACAACGACTTCTTGAGTCTTCCTGTGCCAGTTCCTCGTCTTTTTGCTCGGATTTCGGGATGACTTTGGGGATGGCAAACCTGCTTTCAAAGAGTGAGTATACTACTGACCCGGTTTCCTCCTTGACACCTCCGCATCCCTAGACTGATTTCCTCCCCACCAGCCACCCGAACCAGGCTTCCCCACCACGGCCGGGTCCTTGGGCACAAAGCCCCCCACGAGGATCACGAAGCGCACCGAGGCCAATGGATGGCCTTTTGGGGCGTCAGGACCATCCATCGCGACAGCCCGTTCGGACACGCGACAGGACGCCCGAGAACGCGGGATGTTCACGGTATCACGTCCGGTGTTGAAAGCCCGAAGACACGCGCCTTCTTCAAAACAGAAAGGGGGAAACGCTGTGTTGACACAACAGGACTTCACATGTATTCACTCTTCTCTCACATTACTTCCACACCATTCGATGCCACCATCTAGGAAAGTTGATTACATTTGGCGATGACTCGTCTTGGCGATGCGAGAAGAAAACCCCAAACCCGCCATCTTCCTCTCCACAAATTATCACGCCTTCCATGCTTTGAGCCTCCCGTAGCAAGGCGGTGGTCACCTGCAAACAGGCTCCCCATCCAAGCATTGGCACCCCTTACGGCACCAAACATGCCACTTTGTTCTGACAGGGTGTGGTTCTGCGACAACTAGGGGAAACCCTGCTGTCCAGTGCAAGCGAGGACCTGAGCGTTCATTCTCCAAAATGGCTTCCGCTAGCTGCGATTACTACATCAGGAGAGGGACTCTACTCGTTGCCTATTGCTCATGCCTCTATATGGACCTCCAGATGTGCAATCTCCTGCCCACAGCATCTGAGACTTTTCCTTTAAGCTCCTGGCTGCACAGCCTTGTGAGAAGGCAAGGACCTTAACCAGCTCAACACTTGCAATGCGAAACAGCTCCCTCGGTAGTATCATGCACCAGCAGGTGCTCAACTGCGTCCCCCTCCTAACAAACAATGCCATACCTCCACATGGAGGTCACGACCCAAACCAAGTTCATCTCCGACATGAAGACTCATTAAGACATTAAGATCGATTCCGTCAGCACCCTCCATCCCACGATCCTTGCAATTCCTCTGCTACCAGTCTCTGCTTGGTGCCCAAGCGCCATCGAAGCTGCCCTGTGACCCCAGGGCCTCAGCGGCAGCCGCTCGGGCATACGTGACACCTGGCGCGGGTCACCGCGGCACAGCGGAAACTGCCCGGTGAAGACCGCCAGAATGCCAACAGTGTAAAGTGAAGAGATGTGAGAACTGCCACTGCGTTCAAGTCAATTTTAACGAAAGCCAAGGCCTTCCTCAAATCCAAAGTATGAAAATGACCTAGGACGCGGGGCGCGAGGTGTCAATACAGGAACAAAAAACACACGCGAGCAATAACGGAACTCCCAACCCGATTGGCATTGTGGACAAAACGAGGACACCAAACACAATCTCCTGGTGCCGCTTCTCTGGTTCAAGAAGCCCAGGCATTGGTTGCATCATCTGAGGCACCTACTGGGCGGGGCGAACCCACTCCTGGCAAAATCAACCAAAGGCATCACTTGTTCCTAGTAGTTTCTTGTTACTAGTAGTAAGGCACTTGTTACTAGAAGCGATGCACTTGTTCCTAGTAGCGAACCTTGTTACCATACGTCAGGTCTGAAGTGCCACAGTTTCTGGGCGTAGGACCATCGTGCCCTTGGACAACTCATCAACAAAAACCTAAGATCATGAATTCAACATACGCACGGTGGCCGAAAAGCGCCCCTTCCAAATGTAGTGAATTATAATGACGAGGCATCACAGCCGAGACAAAAATGGAACTGACGGTGAGTGGTGTGGCTGATATGTTCTTTTGGGATCTTTTGGGTGGTGACCGCATATCCAAGTGCTCAGTCGAAAGCTGCCAGAACATTCACTACCGCACCTGGCCATCCTTTCTGCACTGGTTCTCTCCAGAGCTCCACCAACCGCGAAGCACACCTCCGGAGTTGGAGCTGAGCTCCGTGCGGGGTCATTTTCAAGATAGCTGAGACGGGTCAGTTGCTTCACCTTCAAAGTGAGGAAGAGTTCCAGATCACATATGGCAGTGGGTCAAACCCGCTTCGTTTGCCATCGATTCTGTTCATGTTCGATGGAGAAATCCCCCTGTGCCATGACCCGCTGCCATACTTGGATCTTCCACCTGTGCAAAATGTTCTGCCTTTACAGTACATTTCAAAAACCAGCCGAGGTTGGCATACGGTAAATGTTGCGTAGTTGGAAGATCCAGGTACATGTGACATGTGTCATTCATTCATCCCACTAGGGTGGCTGATCATAGGGTAGCTCATCAACAGTGCTGAAACCATTTGATTTCATAGCAAATAATATTGAAACATAGAGAAACATTGCTAATCATTAGAAAATATTAAAACAAATTATTAAACATTAAAATATTTTTTCCACATTAGGAAAACTTACAAAAAAATATCACAGCTGCTGCACTCAGTCATCTCTTTGACACTCTTTTTTCACCTCCCATCATGAGGTTCTGCTGTACTTGGTCTTGGGTGGTAACTGACACAGTATGCTGTCCAGTTTTTTTAGAATGGAATCAGCAATCTCTCCTGGTTTCTGAACTTTGGATTCTGAAAGTTTGTACAGAACTTTTGTAGACAATTCTTTTAATCTGTTTTAATGTGTTTTTATATGTTTTAATTTGTTGCCTGGTTTGGCCTGGTTTGATGAACCCACCTCTGATGAGCCTACCTGTTCTCACAAAAGAGTCATGTTACAACAGAATGCTCGGGACATGGTTGGGTTCAAGGCAACATCTCTTTGTGGAGCACATCTCTTCGTTAGGCATGTTTCCTCCTTCTTGAATGGTGTTGGTAGAGACTCTGCCAGAAAAAAGGCGCGCCCAGAGAAGATGTATGATTAATCTCCACATTCTTGTTCATCTTCTCCTCACAAATTCTCAACGTTCTTTCCCACCTCCTTCGGCACTGGCACTGGCTTCGGCATCCTCCCCGGTGGCATCCGGGAAGGGCTCCGCCTCGTGTGGGGCATCCAGGAAGGTGAACCTGGCCCAGGCGTCCAACGAAAATCAAACAAAGACGACCTGAAAGCTGGGGGACACATGTTGGGGGGTTGAACTCTGAAGATTCTGAAGTCCGGTTCTGCCTGTTCTCTGCGACTTGGTGTGGGTTGTGCAAACGATGTGCGACGTTGTGTCATTTGGTGGCCCATCTGGAAAAGCCGACCCCGGTCAGAATACATCAAGCCAAAGAATGCATTGCATCATCAAACGCCTACCAGCTGCCTGTTAAGGCCTGTTACTTCAAGGTTCCCAGACTGAAACGGGCCGTTTTCAGCTCCTGCCTGGGCCCAAATGAAGGAGTCTCTGCTTTCTCGACCGCCGAACCCGGCCGGACCCCACACCCTGGCGCACTCGCATCCCTTCAGCACACGACGGAGGGAGCCCGTCTTCTGCTTAAAGACATCACCTGGAGCGCCCTTGAGCGAACCAACGGTCGAAGTCTGACATACATCCAGCATCTTCCAACAAAACATGTTGGGGCAAGATCTGCAAAAATGGGAGCGACATGCTGGAAGACATGGAATCATGAACTACTGGAAGTCTGAACATGTCTGAACATTCTTCCAGTCTCACTGACATTCTGGAACCATGACCAGTTCAAAAGTCTATAAATGGAATTCTCTAAGGAGTCAGAACACATCTCCCAGGACGGCCGGCCGTTCTGCAAGTAGCCGTGCAGGCACAAGACGCCTGTGACATCACTGGGGTGATGCTCAGGCACCCGAAAAGAAAGGAGTGGATAGACAATTCTTCCACTGAAATGACAGGATGATCAACCAAACCCCTCTCAACAACTACCTGGTTGGTGTTTTCAACCCACATGACAAATACGAGTCAGAGGGTCCAATCATCCCCAACTAAGGGTTGAAAATAAACAAACCATCACCTAGCTACAGTACATCAACTACATCTTACAATCCGAATCCGAGTCTTTCGTTGGCTCAATCACCGCAACAAGCCAGTTGTGCGCATCGTGTCCGGAGGATCCTGCCAGCTGAACCAGTAAAGCGACGACATGCGACGAGTTATCCAACAAAGCACATCCGCTTCACGCACATGGATGCCCAACAAAAACAGTATGTCAGTCAGTATCATCTCTCGAAGCAGGACCTGAAAACCGGCCATCCCACAGGGATGTCGAAAGTTACAGAACCAACACCGATTGCCTAGCTTGATCTACCTTGTCCATATCTTGTCCAATGTTCATCTGATTCATCTGACCCACGACGAGGACCACGACCTCCGCTCGGACGGCCTTGGCCGCCTTGGTCGGCGCCTTGGTCGGCGCCTTGGCGGCCACGCCGCCCTGGGGCGACCTGGAGCGTCTCGCCGGAACGGCGGGGCTGGGTCCGGCAGGTGCCGGTGGTGTGCCTCTGGGCGAAGGCATGGAGGCCAAAGCGAAGCTCCTGCAGTGGGGGTAAGTCATCTGGAGAAAAAGATGTTTGGTTTGACATCTGTGGATCAAGCTACTGGATCAAGCTACTGCGCCATCGAAAGATTATGAAAAATGTATATAGATGTTCGCACAAATGCTAGGGATCTACACAAGCTCTCCCACTGCCTATCTCCCCACCTCCTCAAATCGGCTCACCATCACCTCGGTGCATCGGTCCCAATTCAATCCGACACATCATGGGTGCCCTGGGAGGCCTATCAGCATCTATCGGCCAATTTCGGCAAGAGATCCCCACCTGTAACCTGCATGTACTGTATCAGCAAATCCCACCTGTAAGAGATGTCACAAAAATCGAATCACCCGTAGCGTTTCACAGCAAAACGCCTCACATCCACACACTCGCTCGAACACCAACTGGCTCGGTCTGACCGGCACAAGCCGCGCTGGCGCTGGAGCTCTCAAGCACGCAGCCGCAGCGGCCATTGCATCTTGAAAGGCCACATGCTGAGCTGGTCGATGCGTCACCTGTGGGATCTAGGAAGGTCCAAAAGTGAGCTCCTCCGCTGGTCAATGCTTTTTCACCCAGCTTTCGAGCTTTATCTGTGTGGATGGGTGTCGATGCTGTGACCACTTGACCTCCAGATATCCACCACCGGTGTGGCTTGGATCACAGCGGGGGCTGTAGCAAGCATGCTTCCCTCCGAGCTGGCTATCACTTCAGGTCCGGCTGGGCACAGCGAAACTCTATATCCATCTGTTCGTGTGTGAATCACGCCCTTCAAGCCAGCTGAAAACTCCACGAAGCGCGCATCAAATGCTTTCAGTTTTCATGGGTTCTGCCGGACCACTGCAGTACAAGCATGTTCCAACTGATGTGACTCTGGCAAAAGGTGACCCCAGCTAAGGTCCTTCTCATCTTGACAAATCCAAGTGTCCTTTTGGAGGCCCAATACCACCCCGAAAAAATGTGAAGACAAAAATCATCAAAAATCCATCTCAATCATCATCCATACAGGCCACAATCACCTTTCGGAAGCTCACCACCTACCAAGTCCTCAATGATCCAAAAAGGTCAACGCCCTCCTTTGATGAGTTTTCAGGATGAAGCTCAGCATCCAGAGTTTCCCTCCCCACGCACATCCGCACACCCCTGTCTTGTCCTGTTTTCACCCTAGTCGCGGCCCCGGATCACCGATTCGCCATCCCGCCGCCGCTTCATGGGCGGGCACAGCTCCGGGGGCGGGCGCTTGGTGCCGATCTCCCGCTCGCCGTGGGCATTGTTGCAATTCTTTCCTGTGTCCCGAGACCGCGGTGAGGCGTGAGGCGTGAGGCGGTGCGAGCGGACTGTCAACCACCTGAAATTGGGGAGTTCGAAATCACGGAGCAGAAACTTCAGAACCCAAACCTTAAAGGAAAGACTGCCACAGATGCCTACATTGGACCCCAGGAGACAAGAAGTAGGCATAGATATTCATATTCCATAATATATAGTTAATTCCATAATAACATCATGGAGTGATGGAGTGCCTGGGTAAAGGGGTATTCAATGAGTCATCACTGGACTTCCCGGGGTTTTATGACCACGGAACTGCCGGCCGACGGGCTTTTGGGGCGGACCATCACGGACCATCAGAAGACCCGACTTTTCCGGTCACGTTTCAACACGACGCTTGGTGTGGGGCGGGTTTGGACATAGGTACCGCGTAGGTCCTAGGTGTGGGTTTGGAAAAAGAACATGACAATGACGTGACAGTGCGTGGGCGACCGGCGACCTGAAGTGGGAGAACGGTGGAGACATGGGGAAACCGTTCCTTCTCCACGACACACCACTGCGAGTCCGACGAGTCCGACGAGTCTGTGACCGTGAGACCAGAGGTTGAAGACTTCAGCTGCAACAGGTGCTGCAACAGGACTACAAAGAAAATGGCAATTAGATACAGTAATCTAACGGGAAAAGCTCCATTCAACAAGCGTTCAAGTGAAAGAAGGCCCCTTAAGAACCATATATATGTTCCTCTAATGGCATCAATCCGGTGCATCCAAACGAGGGTTTTCCACTGAACCAAACAAAAGCTACTTCAAGACCGGGAAAAAATAAACACCCACACAAACACGTATCTGGTCTCAGCCTTCTCAGCCCAGCGGCCATAAATGCATCCCTTCGCCGTTTTGGTCACAGGATCCCAGAAGACACAAAGCCTGGTCTTCACTTTGCCACAGACCGAGAGGCCAATGGTTCCCAACTCGCCTGGGACACACCGGCGGACGGGGTGTGCGGAACGGCACGTCCACTTCGGGGAGATGACAGGGTAACCCCATGGTAGCCCGACCTGAACATCACATCGTGTCATATCACGGCCTGGGATGGTGAAGTTCCGATATGGTTCCATGCTTTGGGGCTCATGTCATGACTCTGCGACTCCGCACGGAGAAGAATCAACGACGATATATGTCTGTTCATCAATGAAAACGGCACTTGCCTCCTCAAAAGCCACACAACGGCAACTGCAGGTCGTGTGTCTTATCCGTCGTTTCATCCTTTCGAGAGTTATTCGTCGGATGTGCGGAAAACCAAGTCACTCTCGGTATGCGCAAAGGGGCAAATCTTCCCCAGCGAGCCTCAGTGCGGTGCAAGCAGCGGGGGGAGAAGCCGTTCCCTCACCCTCCTGGGAGCCCTCCGAAGTTGGATCAACGAGCACCCGCTTTGAAGGATCACTTGGCTCCCCAAAACTGACTTGAAAGCAAAGCTCAGGAACATTCACCTCGTGAAAAGCGTCCACACATCTCCTTCTTCTTCTTGAGTCTCATGTCGGGTATTTGGTTCTCAGGAATGTCTCCCTGTTCAGCTGCCGCACCGTCCTCATTCACCAAGTTGTCCGGCACATCAGGGGAGGCGGGGTGGAGCTCCTCGTAGGTATGCGCAAAGGTGCAATCCTGGCCCTGTCGGCAAAAGCCCACCGTCAGCAAGGGTTTGCACAATCGCATGGGGCGAAAGCCTTCTTTGAAGCGTAACGGCTGCGCTGATTGTGTTTTCGCTCTCTTTTCCTGCTCCTGTTTCTGGAGCTGTTGGTAAAACTGATACTGTTGCATGTACTGCATCTGCTGTGCCGACTGCGCAGCCGCGGCCACCGCCGCAGCCCCGTCCCCTTCAGGGGCATCGGCTTGGGCTGGAGGCGCTGTCGGTGGTGGAGGTGGTCCTCCTGTAGCAGCTGGAGCTGCAGTATCTGCTGCTGCGGCTGGTTGATTTTGAGCTGCTGCACCTAAAGCTTCTACTACACCACCTAGGACTGCAGGATCCAAGCCTAAGGCCACTGCAACAGCTGCAACTGTGGGATCTGTGGCTGGGGAGTTCCCTGCGGCCGCTGCTTCAGGTGGTGGCGGTGGTGCTTGCGTGGCTGCCTGCGGGGCTACTTGAGGTGGTGCCGGCGCCTGCTCCTGTTTCTGGAGCTGTTGGTAAAACTGATACTGCTGCATGTACTGCATCTGCTGTGCGGACTGCGCCGCCGCCGTCGCAGCCCCTTCGGGCGCACTGGCTGGCGCTGGAGGCGCAGTCGGTGCTGGAGGTGGTCCTCCAGTGGTTGGAGCAGTGTCTAACGCTTGTGGAGGACCGGTGGGCAGCGGCGGTGCGGTGCCAGGGCCTGTCATCGTGAGGCCTGGCATGGGCCCCGTTGGCCCTGTTGGCCCCAGAGGCATTGACATTGGTGCTCCTACCATCCCAGTCATCGGACGTTGAGGTAGAGCTCCTAGCTGTGGGACCATGTGTCCCATCGGCACTTGCCCGAAGCCCATCGGAAACTGCATGGGAGCCCTGGGAGGCATCTGTCCCATCTGTCCCATCTGTCCCATCTGTCCGGGCATCTGCCCAGCCATGGGTGGGAGCATTGGCGGGGGCATCTGCCCGGGCATCTGCCCCGGCATCTGCCCGAGCCCCCCGGGCATTCCCGGGCCGGTCGGCAGCATGACCCCGGCATCACCCACACTTGAGGTGGAAACATCTAGCTGCGGCACCAAGCGGTCAGGCGGAGTTCGAAAAGTGATGAAAAGTTGATTGCAAGTTCAATTAAGAGCATCCATGCAAGAAGCACTCACACCCTCCTGATTGTTGTGCCATATCGATGCTTCTGAACAACAACCTGCTGGCCATTTTTGATGAGACGCTTTGGATAAGCGCTTGGAGGTCTGTCTAGATGGTACAGGGTGTGCCACCTGCTCTTTTTCACAGGGTGCACTAGTGATACTGGCGCAAAGGTCAAGATATGAATTCATTTCTGGAACCTTTGCTGGGCTCTCAATCTTTGCCACCACCGGCCTGTGCCTGTGCGGGTCCTGGCTTTCATCCAGCATATGTAAAAATTCGCTGAAGTCGACCTTGGCTGAGCTGCCAGCTTGCGTGTTGCAGTTTTGCATGTTGTTTGGGGTGCCCGCCCCACGTGTCCAGCTCCGCCAATATTTGCACTCTCCCGGCTAATAGTTAAGGTAGCCTTGGTTTTCTTGCACACTTTTAAGATCTTTTACGTGTGCACCAAGGGCCCCTACCAGACCTCAATAAGCGCTAAGAGCCAGCGGAGCAAGCGGAGCAAGCGAGCGCTGCTATACAGACTGTCAACCCATCTTGAGATATGATATGACATGTTTCCAACCAAAAAAGGTGTCTTGAAGGATCAACAAAAATCGAATCTTCAGTTCAGGAGCTGCAATTGGCGTGGGTAGTGCCAACGGAGTACGTGAGTCATGGTCTTAAATACTTGACAGAAGGACCTCCCCAGCGATCCAGTGACACTCATCTGACGGTGTCGGAGGGACCGCGATCCAAATGGACCCATCAACGACCCGCTCGAGACGTCCGCGCGGGCGCGCCGCGAGGCGGCGGCCCCACCGCGGGCCGAGCGGCAACGCCATCGCCCGAGGTGTCATAACTGTCTAAAAATGCCTCGCGGCGTGGGTCAGAGATGGTCGGAGGGGTGGCCAAAAGAGGTGGCTCAGAGGTGTTTCATCAATGCAAGCCAGCCACCTTGGTGTTTCCTATCAAGGCTGCCACCGGTGAGCCGATCCTAGTTTCACGAGAGTTGGCCCTTGGCCGAACATCAAACATTGCGGCAGCACTTCTGCACCAATCCCAGGAACCATGTTGACTCAAGAAGCCAAAGACTCAACTGGACACATTACCAGAACTTGACCATATTTTACCCTCGCTCTCTCTCCATATTTTACCCTGGCCCTAATCATTAGTCTTCAAACTTCTGTAGCTTCTGGACCTGGGAGAGAACACCACCCCTCCCTCGGCCAAAAATATTTCTGGATTCAGGGTTGTGGTCTTTTCTCCCTGCTAGTTCGGGCACACTTTCGGGCACATTGATGCACTCAACTCTTCAAGACATCATCATCTGACAAGATGACCGCACTTCCTCTCCACCCCTCCCTCCAAGTCAGTGGATGCGGTAGCCTCAATAGTCTTAGACTCCTTCTCGTGCTTGGCCTTGTCACTCCGCCCGGTGGTCAGCAGCTTTAAGAGTTCCGCCTTGGTCACCGTGCCGCTGCCATCGGAGTCGAAGATCTTGAAGGCCTGCCATACGATGTCCTGACGCGCAGCCGAGCCGACTGCGCCGTGTGGTTCAGACTCATTGCACTGGTGGAACGGACGGGTGGACGGTCGAAGGACATGACCCGTTTTTCCGAAGATCGAAGCATGGTGGATCCCCATGCTGGCGACTCATGGAGGCATTGTTGGACCGGGAGGGCGACTGATGGCTTCCTGTTCATGACGACGCATGGCGTCAACAAATACCATCAAATAACCTTCCATCCAACAAAACGTGGAGGTGGGGTTGGTGGTGACAATATCTATCCACTTCCAACACTGGCACAGGTTAAGTCTGTCTCTACTACCGCCGTGGAAGCATGGTCATGCATGGTCATGCAGCGCATGGTTCTGGAATGGTTCTGAGGCACCCCCCCAAACAAAAAAAGACGTCTCTCCTCCTTAAGGACCTTGCTCTTGTCCAAGGCCGCCGCCAAAAACTCGGTGTATTCGATGGTGTCGTTCCCATCGGTGCCCACGCCACAAATGCTGAGATCACCAGGCAGCTCCACACCCACCTGGCGGAGTCAACGGAGCTAGGCAAATGATGGGATTGGTCTTAGTGGGAATCTGGAGGCCTGACACCATGAGCTCCTCCTCAAATTCTTTGGTCAACCTATGCGTGATCCAAATCATCCTGAACCATCTTGAGCTTGGAGATATGGTTCTGAACGACTTGGGACCCATGATTCTTCCCATGAAATGGCTTGCATCTACGGACACTGAGATGAAATCATGATGATATCGAAGCTACTAGCAGCTAGCATCTACTAACCAGCAGAGAACGTTGAAGTTGATGCCCTTGTCCACGAAGTCCGCTTGGTGCGCTTCAGCGCGCTGCCCTGCTGCCGCTCGGCCACAGGAACCTGGCCTCTGCAAAGGCGCCCCGAAGCTCAGTCATCGTGACATGGCCATTGGAGTCCTTTCCGGTATTGGCAAATGGCTCCGTTCGTAGCTTCCTGTTACTAGTAGTAAGGCCAGGCCATCCTGGCCCCGTTCGGTTCGCGGCCGATCACTCCGTTCATAGCCAGGAGCCCCTAACGTAACGTAGCGGGCATTGTTCCTACGAGTATAGTAAGACGTTCCGACATCGATCGAAGCAAATCAGAAAACTGCTAGCAGCAAGGCACCCACCCTGGTCCTGGTCCAAACACTCGAAGATCTGCCGCAAGTGCTGAGTATCCTCGTCGCTGGCGCGCCACGCCAAGGCCGTCAAGGCCGCCTTCTGGAGCATGTTGAGGTCTTGGAATTGGATCATCGTCTCAACCATGCCTCTCCGGTTTTGTCCACGGCTTTTTGGAAAGCAGGCAGTACAAAACGAAAAACCAAACATCTGGAAACATCCGCAGTGGATATGATTCTGACAGGTTCAACCCAACATCTGGACACATCCGTCGTATAGCTACAGGAAGCCGGTTCTACTGCAAGATGGCTGGTCCCCCCCAACGACCGTTGTTGGACCTCTGTGCGAGCTATCTTCGAGCTCACCTGTGCAGCCATTCACTGGGCCCCAAGACCAAGTGCATCACCCGACCTTCCTCACCATCACCTGGCATCCCCGAATGATCAGCCATCAGATTTTGGGCATCAATCCTACGACATGCCTTCGATTGGCCCCAATTGGCACCCCAAAAAACGAAACACTAACGACATCTAACGACCAACTGAACTGGCGTCCAGCATCGCACCTTTCATCACTTCAGCGCTGGGCAGCGTCACATTGGCCTTGAGCCACACGTGCCGCAGCGCGTCGGCGATGGAGCAGCGGTTCTCGGGCTTCTTGCGGAGCAGCTCCGCCACGCTGGACTTGGCGTCCTTGGAGATCTTCTTCCAGCGGGGATTCTTGAAGCTTACGGGCTCTTTTCCTTGGAGAAGAAGACATGTTTGGAAACACCGGGTCGCATGTCGACATGGTGCGGAAGTGATTGGACACTAACAAGTAACAAGTATGTATATATATATATAATACATTATAATACACACTGCGAGTCTATATATAAATCACAACATACAATATACAATACAGGTGGAACCCGAAAGACTTCTGATCCACAACCGACCTCTCCTCTGGAAGATCCTCTCAAGCTGCTGCTGCTGCGATCCAAGGCTCGGATTTTGTTCAAGAGCTCGTCTTTGGTCTTCCCATGGAATGGATACTGTCCACTCAGCACGATGAACATCACCACGCCAGCGCTCCAGGAATCGCACCTGGAACGTCCGTCACCCGGTGAGACCGCTAAAGACCGCCCCCCGGGGCTGGGGCCGAAAAGAAACACACCGAAGGGGCCCGGACCATGCTGGACCAACCCCCCAAAAGTTGTGAAAAGCCCTGGCGTCTTCCAAAAAACACCAGTGTAAAGCCACATTGTGAAGGAACCTTCGTTTTTGAGCGATGGATGACGACCGACCGGTCATGATTGATCAGAAATTGGACTCCGAAAGCGGTTGATCTGGTGACGGGGTGTGTCTGTTTGACAATTCCTCGATGCTGTTCGGTGATGTGACGACCGGAGAAGCGGCTCCCCAAAGCGACATCCGCGATGGATCCTTCGTCCCTTGTAAACATGCGTGTGTGCTCAAAACTCCCCCAATTTGAATTGGAAATCCTGTTCATACCACTCGCGCTCCCATCGTCTGTTCACCTGATTTGTATGGATGGTTGGTTAATCCAACGTCTACATTATCAATATATCCCAACCCAACCACTTCCAAAACCCCATCCCATCCCCCCGGTCCGTCCCTGCCCACCGCACCGCACCGAACCCACCCACCGAGGCGCCGTTGGTCGTACTGCACGGGCGGCGTCACCAGCTCCGGGGCCACGGAGTAGGGCGTCCCGGCGGCCTTGGTGATCTTGGCGCCGGGGCGGAAGGGGCAACAGAGGCCGAAGTCGATGAGCTTGATGTTGCCCACCTCACCCTCCTGGAGAGGTGAAGGTAGGAGATGGATGGATAAGGTATAGGTTACATGGTAGGAAGATACTCCCCTAAGATCAAATCATCGGAAGTGGACAAATATCCAGGTTCTGTAAAGAACAGAGTGCATGGTAGCTAGTATGCTGTGACGAGCATCGTTGTGTGGAGAGGATTGGGACGATCGAAGTCGCACCAATGGGTGGAAGGCGGATCTCTAGTTTGTGCCTATGTTATCTATGTTCTACTTTCACCAAAATTCATGTCACACCTACTGACCTACTGGGTGTTCTCTCAAAATGGATGGGTTGCTCTGACTGATGTCACACCTACGCCTTCTGCAGAGTCCATTGATGTTGATCTGTGGACTTGGGCCCTGGAGCGTACAAACCGTCTCGCTTCATGCGTGCCGGTCTCGCGGAACTGCCGGTCCTTCACCGGCTTGGCAAACATAATGTTCTCCGTCTTCAAATCACGGAAAATGAAATTGGCCTCGCGGAAGAGGCATCCACCAAGAGTCAGAGATGAAGCCCACACCTTTGGCCTTGAATCATGTACAAAGGGTGCCCATCTGCGTTCGTGTTCTAAGACAGGGGCACTCGGGGACTGGATTTTTGCATGGTTTTACTGTCACTGTCGCCTGGTGCAAATACAGCAGCGCAGATAAGGTCTGGCGCATGATTTTCGCCGCCTGAGCTTCTGGAAAGCGCTGCTGGACGCACAACGTCTCCAGTAAGGTGCCACCAGAACAAATGTCCATCACCAAATAAATATGCCGGCGATCCTCCGTGTAGTGTGACACTGTGAGGTCCACACGGACCAAAACCTATGGCAAACATCTATCTTGGGTATGTCCTATTACCTGTAATAGTCAATAAACAAGAACATCACTATTGTAGAGAAAGACCTAACCATCATCATCCACTGTTACAGGTAATAGGATAGACCCAGCAGCTATATCTATCCCTTGTAGATATCCCAAGCAGTGATGACTAACACTTTGAGAAAGTAAACATCTTATGCAGCAAATTCCAGCCATCCCAAGGTCCTCATAGCACTCATAGGCCTTGCAAATATGTGCATGATCTAATTGCCGGATGACGTTGAATTCATCTTTGACCGACTTTGGATCTGAAATCTTCTTTTTGGGTATTGTCTTCACTGCCACATACGTGGCCATTGAGACGCATGTGCTCCGGGTGTCTCTGGCACGATTGACCACCCCGAAGCTTCCATGGCCCAACTCTTCTAGGAGTTCGTAGTTCTCCTCAACCTTCCCTTTCTTCACCTGACAGGTATGGGATGAGAAACGGATCAGAATGATCATGTTTCCATCCAGTATTTGCCTCAGCAACGAAGACATGTCCGCGAGCGGTGGGCTTGGTTAAAACCGAATGGTGTCTTCTTTCATGTGCCTGCTCCTAGGCGGTATAAGTGACAGCTCCGACTTCAAAAGAAACTAGGGAGGGTTTCTTGATCACGGTGGCCAATCTGGAACAAAACAAGCCCCAAAAGAACTAATTACTCTTTATCAAATCTCATTCCCACCCACCCACCTGCGCCAACAATGCGCGGTCGAAGGTCTGTAAATCCTCGTGCGTCTCCCGTGACAGTGGCCCTGTGGGGCGCTCCACCCGCGCGCACGGAGCAGCGCCCATGGCTCCCTCATCCTGGCAACGAAGTGAGTCCTGCCGGGTCAGCGGGCAGCCGAAACAGCTGCGGTGATAGATTCGAGCTGCCTTGGGTGGTTTTAGGAAAGCGAGTGATCGGGTTGGCAAGCTATGTTGAAGAGCCCAAGCTTTACCATCATGTATCCCACCAGTCACATCTATTAGCTTTTGCAAACATTAGCCTGACATTAGCCTTTGGAAACAGGTATTTAAGAGCTGCTAGAGGCCTGTTCCTGGACCAGGCGAGATCAAGCGTGATTCAAATTTTCTACATTCACTCCGGCCGCCCGCTGTGTCCAAATCTGCGCTGACACGAACTATTTGAGCGAATCACCTTTGGTGATCCAAAAGGAATATCCTAAAGAAGCATGAATGGGAATAATTGTGTGCATGATTTCGAGAAGTAAAGGAACAACTTAGTGACGCATGATTCTGTCCCACTGAGGCACAAGCGTGCCGCAAGTGGCTTGCTGCTCAGCTTATTTACATGCCGATGGCCACACAAATTGCCCAACCATGCTGATATCCACTGCACTTGCAAGCACATGTGCCGTTCATTGCCGTTCCCTGCGCATTGGCACCTCTTCATGTTTTCGATCCACTCAACGGAGCGAAAACCGTAAACTGGCGGAAGCAGTGGAGGATGCCGCCACGCGGGTGGCGGCCACTGAGGTTCTTCATGTTCTACGGAGTTGGTTTCTTGCCCCTGGCACTACGGCCAGTGAATGTGGCATGCAGTACCCATACAGCAGTCACGCTCTCTCCGACCACCGTCTTTGCGGCGGCCAATGCCAAACCAGGTGCTGCCCGGACATCCATCCATCTCCATGCTCACCCCCAACAGTACCCAGTCTGTTGTTGCCGCATCTCCAGAGATGCCAAGTACCCGCCAGAACTTGTAGACGTTGAAGAAGTTCAACAAAGTCGGAGATTGTTGCCCAAAAGGACCCAAGTGCCATCCTATGCCCTCCCAAGGGCCCGAGGAGCATCCGTGCCTGGCATCCTGGCACCCCCTGCCGTGGCCCAGTCCCTGAAGGACTGGGTCAGATGTCAGGTGTCACGCGCCCGAAGGCAGTCTTGGCATAAAGGGTTTCGATCACTCAGGAGCCAAATCACCTCAGGTGAGCTGCTGCAGCCAGCCAGCTCGTGAGAAGGTGGAAGAATGAAACGTGGTTAGCCGCGTTTAGCACATGGATTCCCACCGGTTTTTTTCCTAGGGGTGATGCCATGTGGGCCATCGTTTTACCGTTGAACCATGTTGCGAACTCGTGGTAGGACAGGAAATTCTCTTGCTTCGACTCCCGGGTGAAGGCGGCGAAGACGATATCGCCTTGGCCGAGCATTCGGGGCGCCGTGGCGTTTGATGAACTCCGTGTGGCGTTGTGTGGGTGTTTATGTGTGTGTGTGCGTCTGCGGGGTAAAGCTGCAAGTTGTCTCTCTCTCTCTCTCTCTCCCTCCCTCTCTCTCTTTCGAAGCTGTTTGTGGAGTCTTTGATCGACTACGGAGATCTTGGGCCTGCGCTCTCTTCAGGTTCATCTCGACCTGCACTGGGAGGGGCGAACATAGGATCATCTGGATGTCAGGACAAAGCTCTTCCTTGCTTGTCCTAGCACCAAACTGGAGCTGTGAAAGTCGGTTGGTGCCTCCACCGCTTTTCAGCCCCTGAGTGTGTCCGTTAAAGGGTGAAACGTGCCCCATGCAACAGGCACAAAGAGGGGCTTTAGGGACCTGCGGGCGGTAGTTGCTTAGCAACCATGCTCGACCTCTAGTAGGTCTCCATGCTGTTCAAGCAGGACGAAATGGGTAGGTCAACCGGATTTTGGGAAGTGCGGCCCTAAGTCTTCAGCAGGTTCATGCTGGCCAACTTCTGCAAGAGCTGCTTCGCAATCTCAGGCTGCAAGTCTGCAAACTTTGCATCTTCAACAACCACCTTGGCATGAAGGATCGCAAATGCCATTACTGTGTCCCGGATGTGTTCAACCATCGTCTTCTCAGAGTCGTCAACCGCTTTGCGCACTGCATCACCAGCAATGTTTAATGCCTCGCATGCATTGGTCAAGTTCAGTCCTCAACAGGGAAGGAAGTTCAAACACGTTTGGAATGCTCAGACTGGGCGACCCAAACCTGAACACAGACAGAACATCTTCACGGTCAATTACTAGTAGCATGTTTGCCAAAGGGCATGGAACTCTTATTTCAAAAATTATATCCATCCTTCACACAAGACCGGTTGCCTACGCTGGGCCGACAGGACCGCTAACCTTCTCAGCAGTCCTTGCTTCAAGACGTCTGCGGCCAAACCGAAGAACTTGAACTTCATACACTTCTTGAAGCATGTGCATAGATTGTCGTTGGTGACCTTGCGGCGCAAGACGCTTGCACAAAGACTCTGAAGCCCGGTCTCATCTTTGTACTCAGATGCAAGCTGGAGCAACTCTAACAAGACTTCGGGCTCGGCATCCAGATTGTCCTGGTGCAAATATTTGCCATATGCATCAACGGCATTCCATGAGTAGTTCTCAATTCTCACTTGATGATCAGCGCGGGCAGCTGATCCTCCCTTGCTCTTGATGCTGTTCGTCAAAAAAAGGCGCTCGAGCACGTATAGTATCCCAACCGAAGTGCAAAATCTTAGGTTGCTCTTCACCCACCACTGCACCACCGACCACCTGCACATCGCAACAGGCTGGCACATTGTAGCGTGCTTGGTAGCGCTGAGTCTCTGGCTGCATACAAATAAGCCGGGAACCCACAGTCACAGCATGCTGCTTTACCAATACCAACAAGAAGAAGTCATCTATGACCTGCTTGCTTCCGATGAGTTCACCCGCTTCTCCAGATACGTAGTAGCGGCCATGGTCATTCATGAGCACCGAAACGTTCAACTGCGAGTGTGCAAAAATGTCAATGATCTTGCCTGTGAAGGTGTCTGGCAACTGAATGGTTGAAAGAAGGTGACTCGAGCGGTAGTTGGGGCCCAATTGGCCTTTTGCACCATTTCCCGCGCCGAGCAAAGTACCATCAGAGCTGAGAAAAAGAGAATGGGCCGAGCCACAGCAAGCTTTAATGATCTGCTTCTGGGCATTCAGGGGGGGTTGGAGTGACAAGAGATTGACCATTTGAGTTCATGCCACACTGATGAGTGTTGTTCATTCCGAAGCACAGAACCGATTCATTCTGACAAATGACCACTGAATGAGCTTGACCACAAGCCACGAAGGTGGCGAATGCAGGGGTGCTTACTTGCGCCACAGTCATCTTGAGATCCAGCTGCGTGGGTTCTTCGACCTGGTCAGCATTGCCCAGGCCCAGCTGTCCATAATTGTTCTGACCATAAGCAAACACCGCACCATGCGTGGTCAAGGCCAAAAAGTGAATATCGCTGCAAGCGAGCTGGATCACCTGCACCGGTTTGAAAGCTGGTTCTGGCGGACATTCAAAACGACCTGCAACTAGAGGTGCTAAACGTGGAACCCATGCATAGCGCCTTATGCTCCGGCAAAAGTCTGCGGCCAAGTTGGCTCTCAGCATACTTCACAGAGAACAGTTCAAGCATATGGTTGACCACAAGCGCCTTGGCAGATTCAACAGTTTGAATCTATCTCCAAGATCTTGTTTTGATGGGCACTTGTTTGTTTCAATTTTTGTAGTCAGTCCGTGTCATGGTGTTGGATTTTAGAATCCCTCCTCACATCGGCCGAAGAACAAAGGCAAGAACATCGGCCGACGAATAGCATGGCGCATCACCGAAAGGCCCATCGAGGTGACCCAACCATGCACGTGCCAACACAAGTATCGCTACATATCGCTACGCCTCTCTCCCTCTCTCTCTCTCTCATTCTCTTTCTCTCTCTCTCTCTCTCATGCCATCGGATTTTATCGAGAATCCACGTAATCATCGGATTTTATCGAGATTTGCAACATGTCATCGGATGCATTACGGATTACGGTTGTATGTTGCAAATCCCTATGACCCTCTTTTCCGGGGGGGGCATTTGATGCAATGGTCACCTCTCCCGCCACTTGAGAACGTGGTGGCTGGGGCCAAGGGTCGGCTTCTGCGTACCATCTCAACAGTCAGTTGTTGGCCACTCGGTGTTTGAAACTAAATTGTTGAAACATACCGAGTGGGAATCGTGTCCACAAGCAACTATTTGAGAACTGGCTGGCTGCTCAGTCTTTTTTTCACAGCTGTACTGTCAGCAACAAATCTGCACATGTCACGTCCACACAGTGAAGCAGGGCAAACTACAGCCAAAGCCATCGGACCAACTGTGGAAATGCACAACCCAGAACAAAACGCAACGAAACGATGACGGGAGGGACACGAATGGCATCCTGCAGTCCCATGACACGGTAAACGAATACTCCATCAAATGACACGTGGGCAGCCATAAGCCCACAAGATCGATTGCTAGGAATGAGTAGCCGCCCACACCTAACAAAGGTGTCGAGAAGAAAACCTTGCTTACATTACATCACTTGTGGTGCATCTCTAGGAGGGCGCCAATGTAGAGCAACGACCACGAGATCCCCAAAGTGTTTTTTGGCAGTCATGAATGCGAAAGGGCAGAATCAGAATCGTGGCCAGCCGCGTGCGATGTACAGATTCCTGCCTCACAACCTCAATAATATACCTCAATGCCGCTGGGCATTCTATCGTCCTGTCTATATAATATCTTCAAATATCTCTACCGAAGTCTCCAGCAGCGAGATCTAATTTTAATGCACGACTAAGACCAAAAAGCAGCAAGGCACATCCATAAAAGACACACACACACAATTCGGACAAAGGCCAAGCCTTTTTAGAAGCTCAACGCCACCTGTCCAAGAACACACGGAGAAATGAGGTTGTCTGGAGCTCTCATCCCAAACGAGACCCGGAGGAGCCCCGGGCGAAACGCATCACCATGAATTGCAATGCTGCAAAGAGTGAGGTTCGGGAAACATGCACCATCTCTGCACAGAATCAACCGCAACCAAGTTGCCGCGAATCAATAACAATAACATACAATAACATTATATAAATACATTCCACATCTTTTGGACATAATGATTCGAGTTGATTTCATACCTGACACTTCCCCTTGTCGACACTGAACTTGTCTCGCTCCGACTCTGGACCCTTTGCGCCGGCGTCAAAGTTTTTGGAACACATGATGACTAGAACCACAGAAACCGGCAGAGGAAAAATGCTCCGGCATGCACACTGTGAAGGATTTGACTAAGACAAACACGAGCAGTCCAGAACCAGCAAGGCGGAAATGTGAGCAAGTGCGCGTATTTGGAGGCATCACAGGGATCCGAATCATGAATTGCGCTCGGACCCCTATGTTGCTTCAGGGCGACACGCAAGTGACGATTCTATGGCCCGATGTTCAAGTGGATGTTCCGCGAGAGCATCTGACTTGAAACAACCGGGGCTGCTACGCGAGCGATCAGTAGCGCCGTATGAAACGGGGGGGGCCCAGTAGGAAAGTAACAAATGGCTAGAGCATGGTAGAGTGTCTGCATCGTTGTGTGTGAGGGAGGACTGCTCTCCGAGCAAACCCAGCTGCGCGTGTATCCCAAGGCAGAATGAAAGAAGTGGCATCATCTGACCGGTGCTTAGTAGGGAATGCGGGAATGAGCCCACAATAGAGGTTCCTTTTTGATCCAGCCGCCCTTATTCCTTACTAAGCAATTCTATCAGTCCTTCTGTCGCACGAGTCCAACCCAGGCCTCCTCCTTGGTTCCCAGGATCTGAACAGCGCCAATGTCCTCGCTCGAGCCGGCCTCCACTTTCCATGCTTCATCATTCAGCAGGATTTCCTGTGGTGTCTCTGCATCCGGGACCAGCCCTAGCGAGTAGAGCTGGTTGCCCTTGCCCAGAAGGATGAACTTTTCCTCCGTGCCAAAGCGATGGAGCACCATCCGGACTCCCCTCCTAGCACAAGATCCAAGCTGAACTTTGGCACCTACGAGCAACATCAAACCTTGGTGGTTCCGAATACTGACTCTGTCAAACTTGCAGAACATATATACCTGTTGGGGATTTCTGTCCAGTGCGGAATGGTACCTGAAAGTCACTCTATCATATATTCATATATCTATATATATATATTATATATATATGTATATATGTATGTTCAGTCTGGTCGTCAACTAGTATTTCTCGCCAGAACCTGTCGGTAGATCTCAGCAGGTTCACCACCTCGATCACAGGACGGTCTTGGTGGCTCCACCAACCATCCGACATCCACACCATTCCGGAAGGTGGACAATGTCATCATTTGTTCATATGTTTTTGGCTGTGCCGGAAAAGGATGTCATTGATGCCTGCCTTTAGATTTTCAGGCATGGCACACATGCTTTCGTATCACAAGCCGGAACGTGCAATCGTTGCCTTTACTCCCTCACAAGTCAACTTGTAGAGTCGAGGTTGGTTACTCACTGACTTTGACGGGCACCCTGAGTGGCCATTCGGCCAGTACTTCATCTTGAGGATGTTTATGGCGTTGTGAACCACTGCAACACGTCCATCTCAAAATATCTGGCCCCTCCCTTGCTGACTGATTTGACACAAGTCAATCCAACCAGCAAACCAGCGAATCATCTGCGAGCCAATGTTTTGCTTTTTGCTTATTTCTGTCATTATGTAGAATTCCAACATGTTCCTCTATTTTTGTATGCCAAACATTTGTCATATGTATGTGTATATATATACACCTGAGAAGGGGGGACGAAAGCCAGCCTCTGTAAGAAGACATCAACATGGCAATGGGGGGTGAAGTCGGGAGCGCACTGGAACAGTGTCACGAATGAGGAAATAGAAGGCAGAGGTGGAAAGTGGTAGTACAGGTGGGGGAGTGGGGTGCCCCCGCAGTTGTTGCTCAAGGGGCGTTGTGAAGATTTATCTAAAAAAGGCACCCCCGAAGTAACCGAGGGGCGTTGGCGTGCTGTTGCTTTGTCTTGTGTCGCAGATAGACTAGAATGGAACGAGGAAAGGTGACTGCTGAGATCACGCGAGGGCTAGGGGAGAGAGTGTCGTTGTTATGCGGGGATGTCGACATAGCAGTGATGCTACTGCTGTTGGAAAAAGAAAGCGGAATACATGGGTTAGGGGGGGGTGCTCTCTTTTCGCTCGGTTCAAGGGCGCTTTGAAGCTGGAAAAGGGAACTCCCAAGGAACTCGGGCAAAGAGTACCTTCATGAGGTGAAGAAAGTAGAATACATAGGCTTGCGGGGGGTGCCCTTTTTCGTCCTGGTTCAGGAGCGTTTTGGAGGTGAAAAAGGCAACCCCTAACGAAGTGAGGGGCGCTTGCCTGCCGCGTGTTGCCAAACAGTGAGCAAAGATGGCTGTGGAGGGCTCATGGGCGAGGCTATCGGCAGGCTTTCGTGAGGATACATGAACTCCCACCCGATACGAACTGCCCTTTTGAGTCCGGCAACTAGGCCTCTTCACCGTTAAAAAAGGGCACCCCAAAGCAATTCAAAGCTTGCCTGCTGTAATCTGTTCTATCTCCTGCCCTCAACGGACCGCATCATTACATGAACTCGCACCCTATATGGGGTGCCCTATTGCGTATGGTTGACAGGCGTCTTCACGGTTAAAAAGGGCACTGCCAAGCAACTCCAAGCTTCCTACCGCATCCTCCTCCGCTATGCCTGTCTTCCACCTTCCCCACAGCATTCTCCTCACTCTCCTGCCCTCACAGATGCAGATTTTTTCGTCTAGTGACAAAACTCTCATTGGCTGTGGGCCTGAAGGCAAGCCTTGAAAAAGAAGTCTGACCTCCCTTTCTTCACCCCTGGTCGAACACTATTCCAATGGCCACTAGAAATGCACATCACCCTTTCCTGGCCAACCACCTCTTGCCTATCCTCGACATAAACTCCCACACCTGGAAGAAGATGGTTTACATTACCTCCTGAGCCCTCATGCCTCATGATGCTAATGATGCACTACTCGCCGTCAATTACATCACTTGCATCAGAACACCCCACAACCTCCTGGCCACCTCTTTTTTCGCTCTCCCCCACCAGGCTCTGGGTTGGCTCTCCACCCACCCACCCCACACACCCACCCAACACCCAGCCAACGGCAAGCGCGACCATGTCGATGACGACAGCAGCAGCAGCAGCAGCCGAAACAAGAACAATCCACCACGAACGCACATCCTCCACCGCAACGAACGGCAAACCCCTTGCTGCCCAAACTTACCACCTCCACAACCACAACAACAATCCCAACCTGTAACAGCACCAACATAGCCTTTTGATGTCATGCAATGTGTATTGGCCGCCCATGCACTAGAAAGTAAACTGCGCGTCTGTTGCCGAGTCGTTGAGAGCGGGAATTCATGTAGGGAAGGACCTTGCCTGCAGCCGCGTAGACTTTCACAACAACAAAGAATTGCAAGCACGCAACGCGGCGGAGGTGTGCAACGGAGAAGGAAATACAAGCCCACCGGTCATCCAGCAAAATGGTCCTTCGGATGCACCTACAGCACCCAGCGCCCAAAATGACACGCCATTACACTGTCAAAAAGTCTAGTGAAGTGCGACCAACACAGTGAGCCTCCGGAATCCGTTCTTAACACCGGTCCTGAAATGCACCAGGACAGAGTCTTGGACTGAGCTGCCATCATCATAGGTCCGGCCCTGCCGCAGCGACGCACAGAAACCAAAACATCTAGCCCCAACAACCGCCACGAGCACTCAGAATGTGGCTCTTCTGCGGTCTTTTGATGCCTGCCTCCAAAACGCCGAAAGGTTCCATGGTTTACACGGGCGAATTCAGAAGCGGAAAGGATGAATCCAGGATGGAGCTAGCCGTTTCTCCAGGAAAAAAGACTCAAGACTTGAGCCTGATCAAATCGGATCAAATGAGATGACCAACACAACTCACGCCACAGAAACTACTGCATCATGCATCGATCACCTCTGGGGATGTTGGTGCTTCATCACTGTCATGATCTGTAGTCTGCTGCATCTTGTTCATCTGGGGCCGCAGCTTCCGAGCCAGTGGTCCTCCAAGTAGGGTCACATCCCACCGCCTGTCTTGCATCTGACCTGGATCGGCACCACCTTTGGGCGATTTGGGTGGCATATTATGAACTAACTCGTAAGAACTCACAAGCCTGCAGTAGAGTGTACGAATCCAACGATGGCAGAGATATAGTTATATAGTTATATAGGCTAGCCGCTAGCCATGCCTGAGCTTGTCTAAATCCACAGCTAGGTTCAGCCGTCTGTGATTTGAAAGCGACATGGCTGAATCGCACTGAGAGCAACACAGAATGTTGTTTGGCCACTCCACTTGCCTCCGAGGGCCATAGGCAAGGCCGACTTTGCAAGCATGAGATCACGCACGCCCCTTGATGAGCTGACAAGCCAGAGTGGAAAAAGAGGTGACCTTGTTTGGCCCTCGGCAATGTGGAAGCTCAGCTTGCGCTTGGAGATTGCTGGGTTCTACTCAATTTCCTCCTGGTTCATGCTGGTCCTCTCTTGAATGCAATCGTGCTCTTCCCCAAAAAAACGGTTGTTTGCCGTTCAATCCTTGGTTTGGGCGCGTGCTTGTTTGGAAACCTGTTGCGCATGCTCACTCAAAATGCCGGTGAGTCGATTGTCAAAGGGCACGGTCCAAGACGTGAACCGAGCATTGGTGATAGCGCCGGACTTGATGCGCCGATGCGACAGCGGCAAACCCTATGGCGACAACATAAAGTGGTCCCAGATATCATCAAAAAATAACCAATTGTCCAGCAGCTTAATAATCCAAACTTTACAACGTGCTTGTGTTTTGTGCCCGTCCGCTTACAGGCCTTGCTCTCGGCTGTCCGCGCATCCTCTGCGCTGCACGAAAGCTGCTCAAGGCATTCCCTGTTCATGTTTGTGCCTCTGCCTGACCAAGAGGGATGCTGGATCGAGCTTGGAGCAAGTTTGTCGCAAATCTGCGAAGGCTATGTACAAGTGTTTTCACCTAGCATTGTGGCTTGATATCAAAGCTGGTGCTCTCTCCTGCAACCCTCTGGTGCACGATGATTCTCTTGAAGACTATCAGTGTCTATCTAAATCTAACTCTCAATTATCTGAGCAAACCACCTTTGGTGTTCTCAGGGACTATGGCAAAAAGATGCACGGTCGGTTCAAAAAACAAACAGGAGGAAAGCACACACTTCTCCGTGCAAAACCAAGCTGGTCAAAGACAAAGCAAACACAACGAATCTCGGCTGCCCGATGCACCACGCAGCAACTTGCTGCTGCAAGCTCTACTAATTAGTGATAATAAATATTCAAATATTCGCGCAAGCACTGTACACAGCGCTTGTGTTTCCAAGGCCGCTCCTCAACGGAGAGGGCGCCAGCCTCCACAGCCAATGCTGCGGATGGTGGTGTGCAATGCTGCGGATGGTGGTGTACTCCACATGCGCCGGCGCGATTACAGCTTTGCCTCAATCCTTTCAGATCGGCACAGCACAAGATGTACACACTGAGTGACAACAGAGTATCCACACTGAATACCAATCAGAGGTTTTCTATATCATTGTTCTGCCTAGGAAATCTAAAGCACTCATACATATACACAATATTACACAATGAGAAAACAAAGGAAGGATTGGCTGAGGCTGAAGCTGAGAGCAATGAAGCCCGAAGCTGACGGCGGAGTGACCCCGCGGCTATCACAGAGTCGGTGTCTCGGTGATCACAGAGTCGTAGTGAAACTCCGCGTAGAAAGCCACATAGATGGGGTTGCCGAAGCCTGGCTCAATCTGCACCCAGGCATTCTTCACATTGTCTGTGAGTACGCGAATCTCCCGCTGGTAATGGTGGGCCAAGGCATGCAAGGTAATGTTGTCACCCCAAGCCCCTTCCGACATGCGTGCGATGTACTTGTCCAAGGCGCTCTCCAACTCATCATCTTCGACAGTGTCGGTGAATGAGGCTGGAGTGCCATTGCGTTCCACTACCATCTTCATCTTGTATTCCTCTCTGTGCTGCGTGATCCATGCAAGTGCATGAGAGCGCACCGTCTCATGACCTTCACCCACCGCAAAGCCGACAGAATGAAATTGACAGTGCCCGTCTCCCGGTGACTTGCGCAAGGTCCACCCTTTAGCTTCAAGGATGCATGTTTGCAGCTGTGAGGGCTGAACATGATCTTTGATTGGTCGAGGCATGCTATTCTGCTGCTGCTCGAAGTGTTGGTGGAACTCAGTGACAAACCTGCCCCAGTCAAACATGTCGAAGCGCAAACTGCAAAAATGCGACAAAGAAAACGCAACAACAGAGTTCTGCGCTGCCACCATGCCCGCAAGTTCCAATCGATTTGTATGCGATGTTGCACTCGCCCTAAACCTGACAGATCCTGCGACACCCGCCTCCCTCTCTCCTCCGTCACGTCGACGTCCTGCCCCAGCGGCATGAGCAACGGCTGGAGGGCCTCACCCATCATCTCAACATCGTCCCAGGCCAAGGCCACCTGTTTGGCATCCTCCTTCTCAATGGTGCGTCCTTAAGGCTTTTGAGCAAGTTTGGCCGGCGGCCATATGGATAGATATATAGATAGAGAGAGATAGATAGATAGATAGATAGATAGATAGATAGATAGATGCTGATATAGATAGATAGATAGATAGATAGATAGGTAAATAGATAGATAGATAGATAGGGATAGATAGATACTGATATAGATAGACAAATAGAGAGGTAGATAGATAGATAGACAGAGATAGATAGATAGAGATAGATAGGGGTAGATAGATACTGATATAGACAGATAAATCGATAGATAGATAGATAGATAGATAGTTAAATAGATAGATAGATAGATAGATAGATAGTAGATAGATAGATAAAGATATATAATCATCCTGGAGTAGATAGAATCTACTTTCGTAGGGGGTGTTTTCTTTTTGAAAAAACTCAGGGTTTTTGACATCCCTTTCATTTTATGAAGACTGACCCTATAGATAGAATATAGTGATAAGATTCTGATCAACTCCTCCCATTCCGGTATTTGCTCCTTTGTTATTTTCATGTTCTGTTCCTGTGTGTATTATCTAAGCTTTCCGTTCCTTGTTTCTTTTCTTTAGACGAACAGAAAATAGAACAAACAGAGAAGGAAAAGGACAAAGGAAAAGGAAGAGAAGCCCCTAAACCATATTCTATGTATGGGGTTTGAAAGGGCCGGTTTTGAGGAGTGAATTGTTTTTCGAAAATTCGTCCATTCTATCTACTCCAGGATGATTATAGATATAGATATAGATATAGATATAGATAGATAAATAGATAGATAGATAGATAGGTAGTAGATAGATAGTAGATAGATAGATAGAGATTTAGATATAGATATAGATTGATAGATAGGCAGGTAGGTAGATAGATAGATATATGTATATACATATCTGTGTGTGTGCTACCATTGTATATAACATTGCCCAGAATGCCGCCTTTGAGTTCAATCACTTGAGGCTGACAAACAAAAGCAAGGAAAAGGAGGAGGAGGAAACACATTCCAGGAGGGGGTGGAAGCGCTTTGGTGATTTGTCGATTTCAACGCAACTGAGTTGTCGACATTGGGGGGGTTTGCACTGTTTAACTTTCCAATGTCAGATGCAACTTTAGATGTTGTTATGTTTTTTGATTTTTTTCCGACGTTCCACGCTCTTCGATGCTTTGGTTTCTTTGCTCTTTTGCGACTTGTTCATATATTGACCAGGCCCTGGTGTTGAGGTTCTTGTTGACTCTCAGGTGACTCGCCATTTTTCCGACGTTTTCTGGATGGTTCGACCAAGCGTCGATTCGCCGCGTTTCGACGGTGTCCGACCCTTTGGGCCCCTGTTCGACGTTTTGGACGCTTGATCGAAACGCGTGTGACGATGGAGGTGTTTGATGTGACCGAGCTTCGACCAAGCAATATAAACACCAACAGAAAAGCCGTGACCTCGCGAGCTATCACCTTGCTTTATGATGATATTTTGAGGTGCACCGCCCCCTATGCAAGGTCGTCTGAGCATCCAGCTCATCCCGGATGTGTTGAGAACATGGATCTTCCTTTCCAGGGTTCCGGGTCGTGTGGGAAACGGCCTAGGCTCAACCGTTGATGACCATGATTCGCCTTCCCCTGTCTTGAAACGAAATGAGAAAGCAACCCCCTCGCGATGACAGGCAGCAAACGCAAGCACCTTGAGCTTTAAGACAGTTTGAGGAGCGTGGGATGAAGCTTTTGGGCGTCCACCTCCTCTGTCGATTGGGCCCTTCAAGCGGACATGCCGCCCACATGCCGCCGTAGCATCCCAATGAAGTCGGAGATGCGATCCGGTGAAACGTCATGAAACGAAGCGATCGCCGAGCGATGCCCGCCACTGGTTGTGGAACATGCGCCCGTCGCTGCTGGAAGCCGTGCACGCCCTGAAGAGAGCGTTTAGCATTTCTAGACGAGGCACCCCTTGATGTCTACCCATGTGCCCTCCTGCAGTGTTTGGTGACACTGTTTGGAATTAAAAAATCTTGCACTCTCGGCGCGCGCGGCCTGCCAGATACACATAGTTCTCCCTTTCTGGTATTCTGAGCGCAGAATTTGTATGTGGAGTTGTTTGAGTGCATAGTTTTCCCTCTTTTGGTCTTTTGCAGGCTTCTTTGCAGGCGTGCCGCTCTTGTGAATGCAGCGCAAAGCAAGAGACTCACTGTCACATCGTTCTCGAATCATGCTCGATCCGATGATCTGGATTTGATGTCAAAGGGAGGCTGGGGGATGCGCAGTTTAGGCGAGTATCATATGTTTCTTTGGGTTCAGTGGGGTGTTCAGTGCTGCCTGAGATTTGTAGAGATATAGATGTCACAAGAACTAACTAGTGGTTCTATACATAGTGGTTAACTTATACATGTGTACATATCGCTATATTATATACAGTTAACACTACTTTAGTGGTTCTTTCCTCATTCTTCCGGCCAAGAGGTAGACAGGGGGCGTCGATGGAAACAAGCTGGACAAACGGAACTACGTTTTGATTGCAGTTCTACACCCATTGGGGGTTGGGATACATCAATTTGTTGTGATATGTTGTGATTCTGCGGCAACGTACCCATCCCAGAGCCTAAGCTTTTGGAATATAATTTGGGATCCCCACATCTACCTTCCACTAGCCTTTAGCAAGTTGCTACTACTGAAGTTGCAGCATCCCACTCTGAAGCACGGGCCGCATATCATGAATCATTGACCCTGCAAACTGGGACATAAGAAAGATTATATACGTCCTAGTACTTCTGACGCTCCTTGCGGCATCAAAAATGCTAATAATGCCGGCTTGGGGGCCTGCATTACCAGCATCAGGTTGATACTCTTCCCTCCAAACCGTCATCCCCTGCATAAAGGATGTCAAACACAAAGGTTTGCTTGACTATTTTCTAGCTTCAAGAATACCTTTCAAAAAAGCATCCTTGGCAGGAACAAAGGTGGCAGGTCCATCGCACAACTCAGCAGCGTGAACTTGTTTGCCAGAAGGCGCTTAAAATCAAAGAGTCAAAGCATCGACGTTCAAATTGCCTGGCATTTTCGGAACTGTTCGGGCATTGAAGCGGAATCCGTCCGACTGTTCGGAGTTTTCGCATGTTTGGACTCTTCAGGCACAAGAGACACGAACTTTTCGACTTTTCGGATTTCAAACATCATTTTCACCGTCGATGGCTTCCGGGTTTTCGTCAGTATGTAGGGAAAAACGTATGACAACTTGTGACTCCCTGTGCCGCATCTTTCGTTGGATATCTTGGCTTGCTTGGCTTGAGTTGGGTAGGCTGAGGGCTCAGGCCACAGTGTGTGGCTCAACGAACCTCGTCAAAGGGGTGCTTGACTTGCGGCTTGCCTCCCACTGCAGCGCAAATATGAGCAGGTCGCACTTTTGCCGAAATTGGCAACTGGCGTGTAGAACAATTGGTTGGTTTGGCATATTTTGGCATAGTGTTAGCTCGATTCGAGACATATGTATGTATGAATCTTTATAGAGTTATATGAGTTAACAGTTATATGATGTTATATGATGATATATGGGGGGTTGTCCAACAAAGCTCTTCTTTTTGAGCTTGTATCGCCGGCCTTTCGCGGTCCTTTCGCGTTTGCAGAAAAACCACAGGTGTTCCTTTCGCGCATTGTGATAAGCTTGTTCCATTGCACTGAGTTCACAGTGTTTGGGATATCCAAACAAAGGTTTCAAGGCCATGGATGAGCACTTGCCCTTCCAGGCAATGCGCCCTTTCGCGGGCCTACCGCCGGCCTTTCGCGGCCCTTTCGCGAAAATCCGTGTTTCTGTTCGGGAAAAAGGATGTGTCATGTATTGTCATGTATTGTAATGTTATGCACATTGTATGTTATGAGTCTAGGTTGGCACATGTCTTTCGCCGTCCTATCGCCGGCCTTTCGCGGACTGCAGTTTCCCTTTCGCGACATGTATGTTTTAACATTTCATCTAAATTCCTTCACTGGCAATAACGGACGGCCCTCATATGATGATATATGTACATTCATAAAAACATACCGGGTTGGGTCTGTCCGTCCTTCTGTACATTCTTCCTCACTAAGGTGCCTAGGGGAAAAAAAACCGGCGAAAAAGATTGCCGATGCTGCCATGGCTCCATGGTCTGGGCCGCCTGCTCTCTGGTTGATGAACTTCTCAAGCACGTCACGCATGAAGTCAAGTCCTGAAGCACGTCAGCTCGACCAACCTCGACAATTACCGGGAATCTGCGATGAGTGAAACCCATCCACACCTTCAAGCCCTTGTGGCCGTTGAGGATTGTGAGGATTTGCCTCGACATTGGCGCGGATACGTTGAGACCGATCAACACGAGCCCATCGACACCTTTGAGTCACTTAAAAGTGCAGGGTGGCGCCCAATGCCACCAGGAAAAATGCACTTGCAAACGTTACACATTGCCTTCACACATTATTCACGACATGTTATGTTCACAAGCCGCCTGGCCTCAGCTTTCTTAGGGATCACAATCAGTGGGAAGTCCTCGCTCATGGGAGTAGAGACCAGCTCTCCCGGCTGCCCGCCAGCAACAAATGGGATGGATGAACCTTGTCCGCCCTTCGTTCGGACAGAATACGACTCGGCAGTCTTGTCGGCCATAATCGCCGCCAATTCGTCTGCCCAGCTTCCTGAGTAATGCACCTCAATTGAACGGGTTTTGAACGTCCTTAACGTGCCACTTCGTGCAATCTAGAACCCGTGCTACAACCATAATTCCCAGTAGCAAACTCTCGCTACTGAGACCCTCTGGAAAACGCATCGCAAGCTCAACCGCCGATGTGATGCGACGTGTTTCACCAGTCAAAAACTGAGCAACCGCACCTTACCCACGAAAGTCGCGCCTGCCTGATCCTGTCTCTGACGTTCTGCACTGGATTTGTTGCCTCTGCCAGCCTGACGCTCACGACCAAACGGACCGATCGGTAGTGAATCGGTGAGTCGTCACCCCCGTGCCTTCACTGGCCGAGTCTTCACTGGAGATGTGGGATCGATTGGGTCAATCACTTCCCAGTCCCCATCCTCTTCGGACTCATCCTGGTCCTGAGGTCATGGAGTCATGATGGGCCTAGACATGCCATGACATGCCATATTACTGCGCAAAGCATATGCGAACACATTGCACACTGTCACATGGTGATGGGCACTCCTTCTTCTTGAAGCCCTTTACACGACGCGGCCCACGTCCACGACCCACCTTGGGCTGAAGCCAGCCGGATGTGGCCAAGCCCTTTGCCATGCCACTGGCGACGGCTGGGTCATTGGAGGCAGCCAGCACCGGCTTGGCAGGAGCCAGATACGGTTCCCGGATCTCGGACCACAAGGAACGGTAGATCTTCACCGCTGCGATGGCATGTCCTTCGTTCCAGTCATTCCAGTATTCAAGATCAAGTGGCACTGGCATCTCAAGCAGCTCTTCGGCCTGTTCCTCTTTGCCCTCTCCAACCTCCGCAAGTTCGTCCAAGATGTCCATCTGCTTGACAAGCATACAAAGTGGAGGAGCTTTCTGGAACTTTTCTTTATCATGCCGGTGATCATGATCCAGTGGCAGCTCACTTGCCAAGTACACTGTGCGTGCCACCAAACGGCATACTACCGCGAGCACTTGTGGACACTCCTCCTTGAGTTTATCCAATCCGTCTTTGAACTGGGGTGGAAGGTCCAAGGATTTGGTGTACTCCGTTCCAGTGTCCCGCGTCTTGATGCTTACGCCCCGAGTCATTGCAAGCATATCTTTGGAAAGCAAATGTAAAGCTACCAGCGCATTGAGTGGGACTGTGGCAACGTCCGGCAAGTCTGCCTCAGTCCCACAAGTCATGGGTCTGTTTGTAGCTCCGTGGGCATCGTTTGGAAATGGTCCTTCGTTGGAATTCTCAGGAGCCAAGGCCACACGAGACATCAAGGAAACCGGCGAACGTTGACAAATGACACAAAAAAAAGGAGACTATAGTGACCTACATGAGATGAGGTTGAGAAGGAGGAAAGTGGAAATAAACAAAAAGTGAAATGCCACCAAATGAGTTGAAACCGGGCAAGACATTGAGAGAAGACATCCTCTTGGATCAAAAAAAGCAGCATTCAGATGAGACCGGCTGTATACCTTGCCACAGGTCAAGTCCGGGGAAATCCGTGCGGGGCACTTCTGCAATTTATTGTTACCTAGCGACCTAGCGCTTCGAAAGTACCACAAAAAGGGAACAAGGGAATACACAAGGTGTTTGCATGTTGTTCCTTGGGTGCAGGTTGCAATTTTAGGAATTTGGAGTGTTGCTTTCGAAGCGCATCATGTCATGAGATGTCATGAGTATACTCATGTAGCCGCTTGGGGCTCATAGTGCTTGGAAGACCTGGTGAAGGTGCCTGGGCGTTGCACACTTGCAAGAGTGCTTTCAAGAGTGCATGTTCTACTTGAGGCGTAGCAAGCATAGCAAGCTAATTCAGTTGCCAGAAACCTTTAAAGACTTGATCCCAGCTTTGAAGTTCGAGCTTAAATTTAAATACTTGATCCGGACACAACAAGCATGGAATTCCAACTTTGAACACCATTCGCGGAAAACGAATGTAGCGGCAAGTCCGAGAATTGTAGCAGAAACTCCCGGAGCGGTACCGGAATTTCCTAGAGAGAAAATTGGACCATGAATGAGTAAACATGAGCAATCCAAGTTTCATAGCCTGGCTGAGACTGCCTTCAAAACCAAACAGCATTGTAAGCCATGGAGATCAGGTTATCCTCAACCCTGCTACCTTCAATTGTGAAGTTATATGTATATATAATAAGACTTCATTCAGCGCTATGGTTTGGGTTTCAATCCTCGGCTCACCAGAGTCAAGAAACATTTGCAAAAAAAACGAGGTGGAAAAATGGCAGCGATCGACTTCAACATGTCTTTCTGGTCTTCCAATTCTCACTATGACTGCATTGTTCGTTTTACATGTTTGATCATGTTTGTTACTTGTCATTTATATCCCCCAAAGAAACCTTTGTTCCTTTTTTTGCGACATGGCGGTTCTAGGTGGCATTGTTGTCGGACCACAGTGCTGGCGCTGACAGCGCTGATGACAAGTGACATTGGGGCCAACGATGCGCGCGCAATCGCTCCTATACGTTTTTGGTGTAGACTCGGGTGTCAATGGGTGTCTTTGCGGCGAACTGCGGCAGACCCAACAAACCTGGCCGAAATGTTTGTAGCAACAGTCATGGAATTGTGACACGTCATTGGCGGGTCGGAACCATGGCATGAGCGCCACCGTCGAGAACCCGACATCCGTTGGACTGCGCAGGTCCGCTGAAAGAGAAACAAGAACACTGCATTCAAAGGAGTTTTGCGGCCACAAAGCTGGTGGCCGGCCTCTGCATGTTGTAGCTGCAAGGCTGTGAATCGAAAAGTGTCACAGGCCAAGAATTCCAGATGTCGGTTCTTTAACATCAGTACACCTATTTAAAATATATATATATGCAATGTAATTATGTATATAGTGATAAATACAACTTATATATCCACATTCATCCATGCTCAAATTCTGCTCAATCAATTTATGTTACATGGACGCTTTTGCAAGAAATCTGAAATCGCAAGAACACACATCCTTAGCTCAGCACAATTCGCATCAGTGCATCCGGGTGATTTTCACACTTGCGATCTTGGTGGGGTGCCTTGTCAACCAAAGTGAAGACTTCCACGAACTCGAGCAGCGTCATGTCACTGCGGAAAGCATGCGCCACATTGACCCCCAGCAATAGGGCGATCAAATCACCTGTGATTTTGCTCACTTCCAAAGCATGGGACGTGTCGCGGAAGAAGGAGATTTCCAGGTCCTCAGCCTTTTGAACACTGAGAGCCTCACTGAGCGACACTTGTTGCACCAGCCGGGAGCCTTTGAGACGGTTCAGGATTCGCACATCCACGCTGCCGTGAAAAATGCGATATGGGAATGCGTCGATGTCTTTGTCCAGGTTGCTGTGGTCCTAGCATCAAGATCATTCAAACAGCCAACCAATTTGACGAACACTCTCATCTCACTGGTTAAGTTGTACCTCTCATGAATGAATCATGATCAGTGCTACCTCTAAGTCCATGGCGGACCACTCGCTCACTCAAGAGAGTCCCTGGAACTGTCCTGTTCCTCACCCAGGTCACTGCAGATTTGGAGCGGCCGTCGACCCACGATGAGCCGCCATGCAAGATCGCTCTCCATGGCTTCGAAATCATGTTCACCTCGAGCTGGGGGATCTGCACTCCATGGAACTTGAAAGAAGTCTTGGCAAAAAGTGCCGATCTTATAGTCCAATCGGAAGGTTCTCGGCCCATGTGGATGCACATCATCTTCGACTGCACAAGCATCCTCAAGCTGCGATGGGAAAACAAACAAGTCCGTTGCACTTGCTTTCTGTATCAGTCGCACACTTTGGTCGTGGCACGTCTCTGCTGCGGGTTGGCACTGGCCACTGGACTGGCACAGTCCCGCTGAAGGATGTAATCTAGCTCTCACATGTGCGGCGATGGCATTCGAAGCAACGAGATAGGCATTGACCTGCGCTATCAGCTTGTTGTGGCTCACTGCAAGGTGATGCAACCCAAGTGATGCAATGTGCTCTGGCTTGTCTAGATTTCCCACTTCAATGTCACCATGCTGCGGCTTTTCAGGATTCGCAATAGGGCAAGCCATTGCCAGTGGGGATTCTAGGGTGATTCTTGGAAGCCGAATGACTCCACAGCCATCTCGTAACTGGTCGGATGCCAAAGCTGCGTTCCAAGCGGCTTCGAAATTACGGAAGGTGATCCAGGCATGGTGCTGCTCGTGACCTGCTCTGCTTTCAAGCCATTTTCGTATCGTTGTGGTGCGAGCTTCTCTCATGGTTATCTTGCCCCCCTCCTTGTCCCGGACCAACTGCATGAATGGCAAGATCCACGCCAGACTGGCTGCACGTGCAAGGTCAGGAAGAATACGCCAGGAGGCACTCTCCTCCTCCACTCCAGCCATGAGCAACCGCAAAATCACGAAGCGATTGCCCCCCATGCTAGCAGCAACAAGTTCTTCAAAGGTGTCTCCGATGGAGGCAGATACCAATGGCCTGAGAACGTGTGGCAGCAATGCTGCGCGCACATCTTCCTTCATGTTTGCCCAGGCACCAGTTTGAAGACCTCTGCGCGCAAGGAAATCAGCTTTGAGGAGCAAATTGGGGTCGGTTGCCTGGCCCGCCTCTCTACGTAGAGCATGAACGCCAGGCAGTGGAAAGTCACCGCTTGCACCTTTCTCACCCAAGATCGGCTGAATGATGGTGTTGTGGAACCAGGTTTCATAAGCAACTCGAGCATTGTGACTCGTCAAAGTCTGTCCACTTGGCTGCTCATGTGGCTGAAGGGATCCCAGTCGATGAAGCACAGCGTGCATGAAGAGCGTTGCAACTTCTAGGGTTCCATTCAACAACTTGGCAAGAGCATCCAAATCTGCTTCCACATTCGCCATGAAATACCACACAGTGTCATTTGCGTTCCTCACTGGGTTCATTCGAGCAACCTGCCGAAGGTGTCCCTGTAAGAGTTGGACGATGTTGTCTCGTTCCTGTACCCATTCCATCTCAATCCCAATCAGGGCACTGGCGTGGATCAAAAGATGAAGCACTCGAAATGCTATTGGGTGCAAACCGCTCTTCGGATCAGGAGGCTTACCAAGTGGCTGATTCCAATCTTGACGGACTGTTTCAGACATGAGACTGTGGGAAACCACTGCTCTCTCCTTTTCTGTCACTGAGATGTGCAAGTCAGCCTCCGTCAAGGCAAAAAGACCTGGAGAAGGTGGTGGAGGCCGAAAAGCAGCTGGGAACCCTTGGCTCATTGAGGAGTAGACCGGAGGCCACCCCGTTCCGTGTGGATGTGCAGTAACCACCACTGCGATCAGCTGCTGGTGAGGCGCAAAGGTGTGGTTCTGGCCTCCATTCATCAAAGTACAGCGACCTTCACCCTCCGGGCTCGGACATTTTGCGGCAGAGACAGGGGCACCGCATTCGGCATAGCAATAGCGGTACCCACACTGGCACTGGCCCCAAACTATGTTCCCTGTGACAGGCAGCAAGTGTTTGTGCAAACCTGAGTACCTCAAGGACTGCCACCAATCATTGGGCACTCCAGGCCAAAACGTGGAATTCAGAGTCGGCTCGTCGATGCTGTTGAAAGCAACAAATGGCTTGATAGCTGGTGGCAAGTCCTCCTGCCTCCGGTTGATGCTGACATGGGCCGCCCCAAGGAAGCAAATGAGGTGCGCGAAGATAGATGCTTGCCAGGCCTTTTCGGCATCCATGTTGAGGAAGTCTATGTTCCACGGGGTCTCATCATCTGCTTTCAAGCGCAACAGAACCCCAGCCGGCCCTAGAACACTGGGCAATTCTCTGGCGATTCGGCCCGCTAGGTCGAGTGTCTCTTCATCTTCGGCTGAGCATTGCATGCAAGCAACTTCTCCCACTGCACGCATGCTTTGAAGCAAAGCTTGGAAGTTGTCGCGCTTTTCGTGGCACAGACCTTCGAATTGTTTTGCAGCCTGTTGCGAGCACGACTGCTCTTCTGAACCAAGATCGTGCAGGCAGCTCACTACTGTCTTAATGTCAGCAACCTTGCTTTGGTCTGGAAGCAACAGCGATAAGCCCAGGGCATTGGAAAGTGTCACCATCTCATCTCTGCAGCTCTCAAGGAAACAATGCAGGCCACTGTCACCCCCCCCCCGCGATGAAAGCGACGACCTCCAACAAATGCTTGATCGCTGTGTTCGTTGGGAGCGGTGCCTCCCGTCGTCGTGTTGCCGCTACCACATACAGCGATGCAAAGGCTGTAGGAAGCTGCTCCACTCGAAGATCTCGACCCTCATAGGTGCACAACAGCATGGCAGTGTCAGCATCCACCCTGGTAGATCCGGCAAACTGCATCTCCAAAGCCTCAACAATGCAGGTCAAGACTTTTTCGAGCCTCTGTTGCAACTCCTCATTGTCTGTCTCCAAATAAGTCTCGACCACATCCACGCTGTGCAAAACGAGTTCTCTCGCGAGCACAAAAGCAACAAACACTTGAGACTTTTGAGGATCTCGCCGTTGAAGGATACTCAAAGTTTTCTTGAAGGCATCTTCCAACATCTGCAAAGCTCTCTTCGACGGGTTTCCTAACTTTTTCTTGAGTGAATGCTTCACTAGGTTGGCGATCACCAAGCTCAGCTGAGATGTCGTCGATAAGGCAGCTGCCAAACACGCAACCAAAGGCGTGTCCCAACCGCAGCCTTGAGCTGTGGAGGGCAACACATCTTCCAAGAGATGCATGACTGTAGCACTGGTGGTGAGTCCGGCCTCCTGCTCCTCCATCAGTGCATAGAAAGATTCGGAAAGAACTCTCTCGCCGATTTCTTCCGCCTCAGGCCAGCTGTTGATGGTTGACACCCCAACCCTGGACATCAGGTGCTCCATCAAATAGATCGAGATCTGCTGGAGGTATGTTTTCAGAGGGTGCAACTTCTGGAAATCGTTGTCTGAGCGCTGAATAGCTTGATTCATAAGTGTGAGACAAGCCTTGAGTGCGGCAGGATCTTTTTTTAGACTCCTCACCTAGAAGCTGCAAAGCATAGGACACTCCGACAAGTGGGATGGCGGTATCAATGTCTTGCACCTCGATGAGACCAGCCACAGCCTCAAGCAAGTGGACGTTGGACTTGTTCCTACCAGGGGTTCTTAACAACAACCTCCTTTACAAAATGTGTGGCAAAACTAGGAGATGACCCAACTTGTGAACCAACTTGCCATGTCACCATTCACTTTGGCCTGCAACTTTTCGGAGACGGGCCTCATAAAGCTTAAGATGCTCATGGCCTTGTCTGGCGCAATGCCTTTGGAGGATGACAGCATGTGGCTGATGGCTGCAACTCTGACCTCTGCCAGCGTGGGTGGCTATGGCACTATTGATCACTTGATTGGCAAGGTTTAAGAACATTGTCGAAGCCTCTCCATCAAAGTAGCTTAGACAGCTGTCTCGAATTACAGTAATTGATTTTGGACCCCAAGTAGAAGCCTGTTGAAAATCCTCGGGAAACATACTGATTTTGTAACCAGCGACAATGCTCGCGTCTGTGCAGCCTACGGTGATGACAAAATCCTCAATGGCCACAGAGAGCTGCTGCAGGAGCTGCAAGGAGTCCTGCCAAACCAACCAGCACACGCCGGCCACCGCCGGCCATGTCATAAGAAGAACAGCTGGTGGTCAGGGTTTGGTTTTTCATCACACCATGTTCGTGAGTTTGTGTGTTCCAACAAGGGTATTTCCCTAACATTCCCTAACCATGGCTCTTATGCTAGCACAAGAAGGGAAGGAGCAACAAGTTATATAGCTGGGGCATCCATTCAAGCAGGTAAGCCCACACACCGACGAACCCACGGCCGGTCGAAATGGGTGATTAAAAGTCCTGCAAATCCTCACCGGCATCTGCACTTGAGCACAAGGAGTCTTCCAAATCTAAGCCGTGTAGTTGAAACGCTGCCTGCATCCCACGCTCAAAGAAAGTTCTCCAAGTGCCTGCCAGCGGAAAAGGGTTCAGAAGAGCCTCCAAGCAATCAGCCCAAGTGTGTAACGTTGGAAACTGCGTTTGCAAGGCTGCGACCTGCTGCGAAAGAGGCAGTAGCAACACTGCCGCAACTGCGGGCAGAAGAGCTTTCAACATGTGCGGATACTCATCACGCTTTGATTCCTGCTGATCAATGGGGTTGCCAGCATCATCTGCCTGTTGCCGGGCCATGTTGCGCATCAAGGCACGAACGATGACATGGAGATGCAAACGGACTGATTCAAAAGTCGCGCTCCCCGGCCATTCTTGTACACTGGCACAAGCACGCGCAGTCATTTCAGTGATCACGTCATCACCAAACAAGCCGATTACATCGCCGGCCTTCCCGCTGGACAGTGATTGGCCAACTGCATTCAATGCGTTACAAAGCGTAGCGGGCAAGCATCGTGGCAACACTGCTGCAAGTTGAACAGCTTGATCCATCAATACTTCAATAAAGTTCCGATCCCGCAGCCCCTCCTTGGATTGAAGTTGGGGCAGCAAGATCTGCATGGCTGCAGCACTCCCTGGCATAAGCAAAGTTCGCATTTCACCGGGATGACGCTGCGAAAGCATTGGCTCCCATTCAGCCTGGTGAATTGCCGAACTGAGCACGTGGTGCAACAACGATTCAGCCACTGGCCGCCAGTGAACACTTTGGATGGCATCTTCTTCCGGCGCAATCTTGTTGGGGCAGCTTGTGTGCAAGCTGTGTTGCCAGACTGCTTTGATCACCGGTTGGATCTTGTCATCCCGTCTGAGGTGCGACAGGAGGGCGAGCTGAAAGGGGCCAGTGCGTCGCAACAACTCGATGTTCTTTGCAACATCCATGCGCCAGTCTGCCTGAAAAAAGATCATGTGAGCGCTCTCGGAATCACAAAGTGTAACGAACGGTTCTGTTGCGTGTGTTTCAGGTTGCCTCCTAAAACAAAACATCGACAACCAAATACAAGATATACAACTGTCCATGTATTTCTGGCACTGTGGCCCACTCACAAAGTTCGGCAATACCCGCGCGGCGCACGCACAATCAGTCGCACAAGAGTCAGCAAGCGCTCAGTTCGTCGATGGTGCCAGCGCTCAGTTCTATCGAAATATGCACGCTTGTCCAAGTGAGAGAGAGAGAGAGATGTTGACTCAACGTCAAGGTCCTCAAACTCGGACAGCGAGGAGCAAGCGGCATCACATGGCGGACATGTGTTGTTCCAGATTCGCCAAGCAGGGGGCACCTCACCCAACTCTGCGCTCCATCCTTGAATGCCCCACTTGGCCTTGCAGTACTTACATGCTGTAGCCCTTTAATTGTGAGAGCACGAAGTGGAAACACCAACATCTGGGCAAAAAAAACGAAAACCAACGCACAAAAGACTGAAGGGGACCACTGACCAGCGTCCACACAGGGAACACAAAGCATTGACAAAGCATGGTTTCTTCATTCGTGACACGTAAAAAGAAACTACAGCGAATGACATGGCCTCGCAACTTCGCTAGCTTGCTTCACCTCTTAGCTAGCTCACCTCTTAGGCAATCTCACCCTTTTAGCTATTGCTAACTTACCGCTCAGCTACCTCAACGCTTGGCTGAAAACGTGGCTTGCTTGCGTGCTTGGATGAACTGCCTGCACGTTTTCTTACGCTGTGAGAGGGGGAGACTTGAGACTTGAAACGCCACGCCTCCTCCAAGGAAAGCTGCTCAGCCAGCACAGAACGAATCCCACTAACAAGCTCCGGTTTGCTGTTGATCTCTCGCATCAAGGATTGAATGATCACAAAGCTGTCTGCGTGATGAGGTTCAGATCCAAAGCGTGGAACAACATGAGGCAATGCATCAGCGAGAATCCTTCGGAAACGATCAGGTGACTCGTCCTGAAGACCAAAAATTTCCTTGATCGTGCCGTTCAAGAGCTCCTCGGGCCGCATTCCCCATGGCAATAAGTGGGAGAAGTGATCCACGGCGATGCCAGTCCATTGAAACATCTTCACATCAGGCGAAGCATCGGTCCTTTCAGTGACAGGTCCTGCCAACAAGAAGGGTCGAATGCTTCGACTTCCGTCATCCCCTCGAACACCATGAGCCACCACCGCAAGGACATGCAAAGCAGACTGGGTAAGCAGTCCAGGCTTTTCATGGAGGAGGCCGAAGAGTTCTCCAGCGCACCACTCCAATTGGAAACGCAGGTAATCCACAATGTCCTGAGCATGGTCTTGTTTCATGTTCACATGCACATGCAAGGCTGAAAGGACTCGACCTCTTCCCTCCGATAGTTGCTTTGCAATCCTCTCAACGTGCTCCTTCATGCTCTCTCTCAAGGTAGCTTGTGACGGCATGCCTTCCATGTTTATCTCCGAGAAAACCTTTCCATAATTGGGCAATTCTTTCACCGCATCCAGGTCTAGGGTTTGGTTTGGAGCACTGAAGGTTGGAATCAGCAGGGGGATGATTGTGTGACCTGCTGAATCACCCAAAGAATCGCAAATCTGCTGCAGCAGCTCCCCAAAGTGAGACTTGGAGCTGCGACACCACGATGGCGAGTTCGGTTGACCCTCCAAGAACTCAGGCGAAATCAGGGGTGAGAATAAGGCCTCCTTTGCACTGATCTCACCAGTGTGAAGCGATGTGCGCTGAGCATGTCGCATGAAAGCTGACAATGTAAGGCTTTGCAAGAGCGTGCTCAGATCGGGCTCGTCTTCATCAATTGGGCACGCTGCAACCAAGTCAGTTGGCAGTTCTCCGTTCTTCCCCTCTGCTGCTGGGCACATCAACGCCACCTCCTCCCGCCACTCGAGGACTTCGTCCATGGAACCCAACAAATCTGCCAATTCCACCTTTACGAGCACAAGCGCAACAACAGGAAGAAAACATGCTTGCAGTAATGAAACAAGAATGTGCACAATGCGTGGATGGGTGTGTGTGCGCGCGTGAAACACAGGGATCGTTTCGGATTGTTTTTAGCAAAGTTAGGGGTCCAGGCAGTTGTGAGGCCCTGGAAGAACGAACACGGGTTCACAACTGGTGAAGCGAGAAGGGACGCCTTCTTGTGCACCAATTTTTTAAGATTTTCTGCAGACATGCACGCTACGTCGTCATTTTGTCACTTCGGGATCGTTTTGAGCTGTTGGTCTCTCTTCCGGTTGAGGACCCCCAGGATCTTTTGGTTTTACCTGAACTGTTCAGGATTTGGGTACCCAGGTTGGCGTGTGGCAACCGCTTTCAAATCAGCATGCATTTCTATAAGTGTGTCTGACCTTCGTGTCAGCCCAGGGTGACCCCGACGAGTGGTCGCTGTGGACCCGTTGAACGGGGGCTTGTCGTTGTTTCCTTTGCTCTGGAAACGCACGTGCCCATAGCGGGCGGAGTAGACTTGTGCCAAAGTCATTTGCCAAGATTGACGGATTATTGCATTCCAAGCTGGCTCTATGCCGAAAGGTGACCGCAGCGGTCCAAGCTGGCTTAACGCCTCCACGTGGTCAGAGCGACCGTAATTCTTTTTAGGTTCATTGGAACCTGTCGGGACCTTAGGTGCACACACAGCGTATACATTCAAATGAGGCGAGGTCTACACCTAGGTGTTTCTAATGAGGTTTGGCTTCATCGGTTCTCGTCCCCTCCACTTGGTTCCCTTTCCGTCCTTCCCCTTCACACGCATCTGTTTTTCCTCTTTTCTTTCATGTCTTCTTGTCTTCGTGTTCTTTCATCTCATCTCTTTCCTTCTTTTGCGCACACACGGCCCGGCCCCTAGTATGCACGTGCACAACCTACTTCGACTGAGGTTTTAGGTCGCCCAAGTCTTTACAATGAGGCGGGTTTTCGCCCCCTCGGGGAGGCGTGTGTATGTGTGTCACAATAGTTTCCACAGGCAGGGGCGTACGGCTCGTCATACCCACCGTACGCAACGAAGCTACGGTATGACGAGGGAAGGGCGGACTGATCATCCACCTGTACCTGGACCGATGGAACTTTTGCGCAAGCTGAGCTTTTCCACTCTCTGTCTGATTGTATGGTTCTTCACGCTACCACCCCCAAACAGGTTTCCCCCCGCTCTGCAGCCCGCTCTGCAGCCGCTGATCGCTGCACGCTTGCACTTGAGCTTGTTGCGAAACGTTTGTTGAACAATACTTTTCTGCGGACTCATGCACCTTTCCGTTCCCTCACCTTTTTCGACTTGGGAACAGATTAACTGAAAACCAATGTCAGAGTGTGAACCGCTCAGTCGTCCCACTTGGGCTGGGTGTGGTCTCCTGCAAGGGAGCGCTGTCCTCATTCCGGATTGCCACTAACTGACCTTCTTCCGTTCTACACACGTTGGATTCTCTTGACGGACTCTGTTTCACTATTGGATTTCCAAACCCATATGCCGTCGGGCATTTCAAGCCACCGGGCCAACGGAGAATAAACCCAGACGTGTTCTCTACCCCAAACACCCCAACCCCTCCCCCCCCCTCTAATTAGGGTAACAGAGGGAAATGGTACTCGGCACACTTGTGCGTCGGTGCCTTTCCCTCTTTTGTTCCTTTTCTAGTCTACTCTACCCGGGCGGTGTAAGACCAAAGTCCCGCTCCCTAACTAGTGCACCTAATTCATTTCGGCTAAGTATTCAGTAACTCTAGAGTGCTAGGGAGTCATACACACACACACACGGACACACACATGTACATACACCTCCCTGCCCCCCACTTTCTTTCTTGCGCTTTTGGTCGTTTCTTGGGCTTTCTCTTAGGCTTTCTTTTGTTTCTAAGGCTGAGGTACCTATTTAGGTCCTCCGCTGCGAGAGCGCCGCAAAGCGTGTGTGTGTGTGTCACACCCTGGTTCTAAGGGTTTCTACCTTTTTACCTTTCCATTCTTTTTCCATTGACCAGGCAGGGGGGCGTAGCGTGTTCAGATGACTACGCCCAACGAAGCTAGTCTGAACACGGGATACCAGGATTGGCCATCCTGGCGTACCTGCGCTGACGGAACGTTTGATCAAGCTGTGACTCCACTTTTCCATTTTTTGATTCATGGTCCTTCATGTTTCCACCCCCGAAACCTCGGTTTGCAGCTGAGTTGAGCCGTTCACCACCGCCGATGTGCAGCCGAGTCAAGTGAAACAATCGATGTTCAAACACCTACAAGTTCTCGGACTTTTCGCCATGCTGTTCCATCGCCTTCCTTCCCAACGTAGCAATTGAGTCTAACTGAAAACCCAAGTTCGAAGTGTGTCCCGCTCAGTCTTCCCACTCGGGTACTGGGTGTGATCCTCCGAAAGGAGGCGCTGCTATCATTCCGGAAAGCATCGTTTTTTCATTCTTATAACTGATCCACGGTTTTTCATTTTATCCCTGAATTTCCTGATTTTCCAGCCGCCGGGCTATAAGCGAGGAACTATCCACTCAACGTTTCGACATTCATTCATGTGGTGCACTGCTGCGTTTTCTCCAACTTCAATTTAATTTCCCACCCGCAGCCATTTGACTGACGATCAACGCATGCATGCTCACGTCCCGGAGATCACAATGCATGCCAATTTTTCAGTTTTTCAATTTTTCAAGTTAATTAATTTTTCACTGCACACCTACTGAGTTCCTGACTTCACTGCCATCTTCAAACTTTTCAGCTGCTGTGCCGCGCCGGCGCCATTTTCTCGCAGCCACTCGGACGGCCCTCTCTACATGCAGTACCCTTGGCCTTATCCACATTGGCCACCGCCTTGTACCGCACCCCCCATTCCCGCAGTCACCACTCAACCACCGCCATGGCACCACTCTCCACCAACGGCACCTGTTCCTACGATTTTATCCCATCCATCACAGCAGGCCTTTCTACCCCACTTTCAGCCCACTCCGCAGCAACCGCCACCTCACGCGTGGCCACATCCCATGCCAGCTCATTCTCCAACCTTAGTGGCTCCCACGCAGGCCCACCCAACAGCTCCACAGATGCAGGCATTCGAGGCCTTACCAACACAACCTCATCTACCACACGCACCACCACCACCATCCGTTTTACCTGCTCCTCAAGCACCACAACCACAGCCGCCAATCCAACAGGTCCCCATCCACTGGGACCAATCTCAAGGTGTTTGGCAACCTTTCTCGGCTTTTCCACCAGTTGCTCACCCTTCACCAGCTTCCACACCGGCTCCGAACACAACTGCTTCGGCCCCTCCAACACATCCACAACTCCCCTCTGGCGTTCCCAACGCCCCTCCCGGCACTTCCAACGCCCCACCATCAGTCGCTATTACTCAGGAGACATCCTCACCAGCTACCACTGCCACCACCGCCGCACCAACTACACATACTTCCACTGCTCCGCCCTGCCACAGCCAAGCCAACACCGCCACCACCACCACCAACGGCATCTCCGGCAGCATCTACAAAGCCAACCGCACCACTTCCCAAGCAGCCCCCTCCACAACCTCTCACAGCGGCACCGCCTCCTCCCACCGCCACTGGCCGCAGCCATCGTGGCCGCCGTAGCAAACGGCGTCGCCGCCACCGCAGTCGCCATACACGTGACAAACATCAACGTTCCCCTGCGACCTCCACTGCCAAAGCATCCTCGGCACGTCGTCGACGTCGCCGTTCTCCCTCCACCACATCTACCACGTCTTCAGCCAGCAATTCCCACACACGCTCCCACGCACCTATCACTCTCCGGCCCAATCAACAATCCACATCTCACAGTCAGATCACCAACATGTCCCAAGCGGACTACCCCAACTATCCGGCGCTACGCCGCATCCACCCACCTTGGAAGGCACCTCCTCCACATTTCCAGCAGCTGTCACCACAAGACAAGATAGCATGGTGGCTGGATTTCCATGCAGCCCAGGTTGCCGCAGAGAACAGACCACAACATCTCTACATCGCCAAACTTCTAGCAGACACTGGCTTTGAGTTTGATGATCTGGCAGACTTCCGCCAACTTACCCATGTGAAATGGAATGACGCCACCAATGCTTCCGACACTTTCTCCTATCACTGTATCAACATCCCGAGCCTCGTCGACAAAGCCACTCGCCCACTGCCACCACCCGCCACTCGGGCCACTTCCACCGCCCCTGAAACAGTTCACATCAATGCGTGTCACACCGGCCCCTATGGCAACATTGCTGCCATTTTACAACAGGGCCGTCTTCTCAACCGTACCCTCCACTTCGAGGACAACCCAGGCTTTTTTGCCCAAGCCACACGCATCACCCACCAGCACATTCACGACAACTACGAACAGGCCCGCATTCTACACAACACATGGAGGTTGGCAAAAAACGTCCATTCCATCACGGTCCATATCCTTGCTTGGGGCCGTGGGACGAAGTTCACCAGCGGAGGTGAAGCCCAAGCCATGCATCTTTTGCAACAAGATCATGGCGCTGTTTGCCACTCCAAGGCCCGATGCTGGGTGATTCACCCTAATAATGCCATAGTCAAGGGGCTGGCATGGTCTATAAATGCCACCCCTCCAGACCTTTGAGGTCCTACAACACACCGCCAGCTCCATCTTCACCTCCACCTCCATGCTACCTCCCAATGTCTGAGAGCAGCCTGTCCCTACGTTTCACCTCGTCACCAACTCCAGCTTCGAAAACACCGCGCTCGGATGCCTTCCTCGCAGGACCTGTTTCAGAACTTTGCAACGTCAGCCTATCGTATACTTTTTTCATTCAAACCATTTTTGCGGTTCTTCCTTGCACCATTTTTAATCTCTCATGTTTGCTCTAGTGGATTGTTCTCTAGATTTTTCAGATCAAAGAACTTGGGCTTTGACAGTACTTGAGAGTCTCGTGTATTTCCCTTTTTACCGATGCAGTTTTTCAGATTCCATTCATGTTTATG